CCCAATCCCTCTTTTGCGCCAGTTTCAGTCAATTTCAGGCGCCGGCAAATTTTTACAATTGTCACTCTACAGCGAGCATTACAACGAACTTCCATCGTGATTCCACACCCATCCACCCACATACACACACACACACATACACACACACTAAAATCGACGATCTCAAAATAGCGCACGCCGAAATTAGTCTCGCGTGGTTCTCGTTAAAGCGAGACGCATCGCCAGCCAGTACATTTCGAGGCGTCGTCGGCCGTCGAACAACGCCTTCGCACTCGATCGTGTCCTGAAATTAACAATCGTTTATCCCGTTGAAGAGATGAGTCCGAATCGCGACAACACGGAGACATCATAAGTTAACTTGATATCGGAAAGATGTCGGCGGACGAATCGGAGGCGGAAATCGGCGGATTTTTCCGCTCGAACCTGCTGGCGGTGCGAACGGCTATTCGCCAATCGGACTTCAAGAAATTCGCCGCTCTCGAGCTGGATGGCCAAAGGGTGGCTTTCCTCTTAAGCTACCCCGAAGCCCATCAATTGTCCCTTGAGGTGGAGAAACCGATGACCAAGGACAACGATGCTGCCGCTGAACTGAAGAACGTCGGGAACAAATTCTTCGGCCGGGGCGAATTCGCGAAGGCCTTGGAGACGTACTCGAACGCGGCCCTCTTCGCGCCATCGACAGGTAGAGATCGTACCGTGGGAAGGTAGAACGCTAAAATATTGGCCGCACAATGTGAAAATCAATACTTTTATCTTATTATTGTTTCCTTGCCATTTCATCGTAGTCCTGGACAGATCAAAATATCTAGCATTATCCTACTTCATCTACCGCATCATCAACTGTATTCCTCCAGACAATAACTGCCATGTTCATCAGGTCTGTGTCAACTGCATCCAGTCACCTTCTTCGTGGTCTCTCTCTTCTGATGCCGAGCATCTTATATAAAAAGACTTTCTTCGATGCTTCCTCAGTTCATCTATCACCTTTGTCATCTCCGTTATTCCCGGTTGAAGCATCAAGACCAATCCAATAGCCAATTATCATCCCATAGCCTTTAGTATCATGCAAAGGTCTTAGTTAAATAGATCGATCCCCTATCAGAGGCGAGTTATATGGTTTCACGACGATAAAATTTCGGACATAGGGTTGCCAGCCCTAAAGCACGTAATTGTGGACCTTTAGAACTAAGCGTCATCCTGGCGAACCGCTCGGCCGCGCTGTACCACCTGGAGCGTCACGAGCACGCATTGGAAGACATCGAGGAGGCGTCGCGTCTCGGTTACCCAAAGGACCTCTTCTACAAGCTCGAAGAGCGACGTGCTCGGTGTCTGCTGGGCCTGAATAAGCATGACGAGGCGGTGGAGGCCTTCAGGCGCTCCCTCGGAGCCCTCGACGACGCCAAGGTATCTTTGGAGCGCAAACAGAAGCTCGAGGCGGACATCAGGATAATACTCGCGGTGATGGAGAAGGGCAAGCAGCTGAACGAGACTGCGAGGGCAAGAAACGTCCAGCGAATGAACAGCAGGCAGAAGCCGAGTGCGCGGAAGGTTGAAGGGGAGAGCCACAGCGTGTTCATTCCCGAGAAGAATAGAAACCCTTCGTATCCGGCTTGCAGCAAAGCGGTGGCGATCATAGACGACGGCGGGGACGTGGGAAGGCACGCCGTGGCGACCAGGGAAGTATCACCCGGCGAGATCGTAATCGTGGAGCGGCCGCACTGTGCCTCCCTGTTGGCGGAGAACAGGTTGTTGTGGTTGATTTTTCTCTTTCCGGCGACTTACGCACGTCGCTTTATACGTAAAACGAGCGCGAAGAGGGGTAATAGACTGAACACACGACGTACGGTCCTGCAGGTTGACACACTGCCACCGCTGCTTCGCGAGGATATTCGTGCCGATCCCGGCGATTTGTTGCACCTGCGTCGCGTACTGCAGCCGTCGTTGCAGAGACGCTGACGCCCAGGTGCATCCGAGAGAGTGCAGGCTGTTGCCGGTCCTGTGGAATTCGAAGGCTTCGGTCACGTGTTTTCTCGCGTTGAAGGCGGTCACGCAGCGATCCTTCGACGAAGTCGTGAAACTGAAAGGACGGCTGGGGGGTGCCGCGTTTAGAATCTCCCCCGAGAACCCGTATCTGGGGGACGACTATGCGACGTTTTATAATCTAGGTAAGTGTGAATGTGATCGAAAGTACAAAAATCGATACGATATCGAAGTTTTTCTATACTTGACACACATGAACAGTCACCCACGAGGACAAAAGGCTGCCCGAGGATATCTTCCACAGGGCTTACATGGCGGCCTGGCTGTTCAGGCTGCTGAGAAGCAGCGATTACTTGCCGGAACATGTGAAATCCGCCGATTCGCCGACGAGCAGATTATCCGACGAGGAGTTGTTCATCGCCGGCCTGCTGCTGCACAATTTGCAATTATTGCAATTTAATTCGCACGAGGTAACGCGGAAAAATAAATAGGGACGTTGCACTCTGAATTCTCGTGATTCCAATGTCTTGATTATCTTTCCTCTAATGTGAAATCCCACGATCGGGATTTGTGATTATGATTGACGGCGCTGGCAAGCATTGCTGTTGTACTGCAATTGGGATTTTCCCCGTTGAAAAAAAAATGAGGGAAATTCATATAGGAAATCCATATGGAATCCCACGGCTGCAATCCCTGAGGATTTGCGCCAAATACCCAGGTTCTACGTAAGAATCCATGTGAATTCCTATATGAATCTTCACAAACTATCCCGGGATAAAAATGATTATATATGAATCTTCAATTGGATATCACTCGCAAGTTACGTATACGAATATTTACGAATGATTCAAGAATCGAGCCCCTGGAAATTTCCAACAAGATCGCTTGTAATTTATTGATTGTACCGCTTGTCTTCCAGATTTCGGAACTGGTGAGACCGAAAGGGGAGACGACACTCGCCAAGGCCAAGAGTATGTTCATAGGCGGTGGTGTTTACCCCACAGTGGCGATGTTGAATCACTCGTGTAATCCTGGTGTCGTGAGGTAAGGTATAATCGTTATCTAATTATCAATCAATCGATTAAATACTTGTATCGGAGGAAATTTTAAATAAAAAAAAGAATGCTAACCGCCTTTTTCGAATCGTCAGGTACTTCATCGGCATCACCATGGTGATTCGTGCTGTTCGTACGATCAGCGCCGGCGAAGAGATTTCGGAGAATTACGGTCCCATCTTCACAACCACGCCCGAGAATGAGCGAAAGAGACGATTGAGAGTTCAATATTGGTTCGACTGCAACTGCGAGGCGTGCACGGGTCATTGGCCGCTTCTGGAGGAACTGGATCCGACAATATTCAGGTATTGATCAACACATTATTCACGTATGTATTCAACATGTTTAAAAAATCGATTACGGGGAATGCGATAGACATTAATATGTTATTGTATGAATGAGATCAATGATACCTGATATGAACCTTCTCTAACGCAAACCGATCTCTTCTCCAGGTTTAAATGCGAGACCGGACCATCCTGCGGCAACGTCTTGCCGATTAGGAGCGACGCGAACGAATTCGTAATCAGATGTACGAAGTGCGGTAAGAACACGAATATCTTGAAAGGCCTGAAAGCCCTGCAGGACACGGACGCGCTCTTCAAGGTGGCGTCGACGAATCTTGAGGAGAGCCGCAATGAGCAGGCACTGAAAGCCTACTTGGAGATTTTGAAGCTGTTGGACGAAACGTTAGCGTTACCTATCAGAGATTATCATATCTGCCAGCAAGGAGTCAGACTCTGCGTTCTTGCTTTAGGCAACAAGGCATTTATTTAATTACAGCCGAATCCCAGATATTCCCTGAGTAATCAGTTTCCGAAATTTCTAAAACTTCTCTAAAAAAAATTAAATCGATTTACAATCGTGCTCTTTTTGGATGCACCTTTCCGTTGTCGTATTTTATCGCTGGTTCTCTTCATAAATAAAATCAGTTTTTCACTGGTAACGTCTCGAGTGTACAATGAAGAACGCCAGAAAGCTTACTCAGTGCTTTACACTAGTATTTACGAAATCGCGACATAGAGGAAATTCGGCGGTCTAGTTATCGTTTACAATTTATTTGTCGTGTCTTAATCCATACAAAATAATCATTGACAATATTACGCATTTAACGAAAATTTTGGTTGCTTCAGTTCTGCACATCTGATAATAGTAACTCGATATTTAAATGTTTAGTTCAAGGGAAAGTGAACGATACCTGGTATATTGGTTGCTGGACTTACATAAAACGCATATCCCTTAGCCTAATCATTTATCTTGACGCACGCATTGCCAGTGTGTGTATGCATGTGTGTGTGTGTGTGTAGACGTGTGAAGTATAAAAGCGAGCAATCAATTGAGCGCTTGTGTAGAATCGTGTGTAGAATGCGTTAATGTTGTCCGGTACGCTTACGCCTGAACGATCAGATATCTCTTGTTCAACAAACATACTCTGCGCAGCAATATTTTTTTCACGGAAACGCATTTTTGACTTACGTAGCTAGTGCTATGACTCGGTCCCTACCCTTTTCTTTTTTTTTTTTCTAAAAATGCGAAAAAAAAAACAGACAAACGAAATAACTGGTATAGTGAGGTCTCTCTTTATTTACCCTTATCGGACGCTATAGCTTTTTATGCGTGATTCTCACTAGCTGGTTTCGATAAATATGCGAACTTGTCACCTCCTACGTGACGTACGACCGTAGCGACGAAGTATTGTTGTCACGTGAGAGGTGATTTACGACCGATAAGGATTAATAGGTCTGTCCTTTATCACTGAACTGGATGCACTCGCTTCCACTAGAGTTCTCCTCTTTCTTATACAAAGTTTCCATTGAATACGGCTATCTTTTTAAATTCTACAAGTGTAGACTAGTTCAGCAAAAAAGAATAGATCTCAGGAGATCTGCGGGGCAGACAACATTAATCGAATCAATTGTGGATGTGATCCGCTAGACGCTCCGAAGCATTTAACAGCATGCACGATATTGCGTACATGATATTGCATGCATACATGCATACATATATCACCGTACCGTCAAAGGCTTTATAAGTGGCATCGTAAACGCTTCGAGGCCTAAGGAATTTCCGGTGGGTCACACATCTTGCATGTGTTGTATATGCATGTATTATGTGTAATAATAATATGTTATATGTAATAATATGTAAAACTTACAAGACAAATATAGCCTAACATTGAATTACATAAAATCCACAAAGTTCGTCGAAATAGCTTTTGCTTTCCTCCCGTTTTCTTTTTTGCAAATGGTTGTCCACTCATAATCGGCAAACGTGCATGATGTACGTGTGCGAGTGCATGTAACGTGTAACGCGTATGGCTAACGATTGATATTTATGTACATACAAAATTGTCTTTCGCTTTATATCGTTCTTTTATCTTCCGTCCGGACGATTAAGTCGGTCCATTGTCTCTCGAACACTTTTAGCACCTAACTGGAATTAGATAAAGAATATACGCTTAGAAAGAAGGGAGTATCCTACTTAAATGCATTTTATCTTATCTTTTTCACTGTTTGCCGCTCTTATCGCGAGAGAGGACGCTGCTCCCTGCGCGACGAATTTCGAAATTGAAATGTACGAAATTTAGAATTTTTCGTTAGCCCAATATACACAACTCCTTCATTTTTCTCTCTTTTCGTCTATCCGATTAACTTATTCTACGATTACGCCAATTTGTAAAAGCTTTCGTCCTCGGAAGCGCTTGCGAGCATTGTTTTTTTTTTCTCGAACTGGTTTCTTCTTAACATATATTGTACTTAGGAATTTCTCGTTTTTCTTTTTTCTCTTTTTCTTTTTTACAAATAGCAAAAAAAAATAGAATTGCTTTCTTTTTTTATCGTTTATTTTTATAATCTTTTTCAGTTTTTTTTTTCTTTTAATTGTCGTTATTTTAATACCGTCTGTCACGGGAGTCCGAACGTGAGCGACGATCTCGGCTACGGCTGCGGGTCATCGATCTCCTGCGAGGACTGCGTGATCTTGACCTAAAAGATTAAAGATCCTTTGATATCTCTCGTTTGAGCACGAAAGCGAGATTATTAGAGCTGCGTATCTCCGCCCCGTCGCGAATCTCACGAACTACTCCAATTATTTCAAATAAACACGTAACATACTATTTTAACTATTAATACTATTTTTTAAACCTTGATATAGTGTATTTTAAATTATTAATCAATATTTTTATCACAACAAAATAAATATTATGACGAGAAACAGGCGATTCTACAGAATGCGATAAATTTTGACGAGAGTTGCGTTAATTTTAATTAATTTAATGTTACAAAATTTAAGGATTAATTTATTTATTACAAATTTAATAATTACCGCAATAATATCTTTTTAGTAATTCTCTATTTCAAAGAAATTATATCTTAACCCTTTGCACTCGAGGGCTCCGGAGCGGAACCATTTAAAATTTGCCTTCAAATTCTTCAAACTCAAATGCAAATAGCAAGAGCGGAATATCCTATACACAATAGTTTTTACGATTTGTCTTTGTCCTTACGTTATGAACTTATTGTCCTTACGTTATGAGTTATTTGCATTGTCTCCATAGCGGACTTATTGTCCTTACGTTATGAGTTATTTGCATTGTCTCCATAGCGGAGCTCTCGAGTTTGAAGACAAATTTTAAATGGCTCCGCTCCGGAGCCCTCGAGTGCAAAGGGTTAATTAACTAACGCTCTAAATGCAATTACATTGCAAAAATATTAACTATTGATAAACTAGTATTTTAAATAGCAGTTAATATTAATTTACATTAAATAATTTCATTTCTCATTTTCTTATAGAGAAACCGCTCGTTTATCGTCATGATTAGAAAATAATTGCAGATGTTCTACCAAAATAACAGTGTCGCGCCAATTCTGTACGAGACAGAGCGGAACAACGCGATAGAACACAGATATGAAAAACCATCGCAAGGCAACTGCAATAGAATTAGGATTATCTAAGTCCTAATTTGCCTAGAGGGTGATATAAAAATCAGTTAGATACGATTAATAATGAATTAATACAAAATGACGGCTCACCATACTAAATGCGAAACCAATTAAAGAAAGTAGGATTATAACTTTAGTAAAATTGCAATTAAAAAAAAAAAAAAAAAGTAAATGTTACATCTATAAATACATCGATATGCCTCGATATATCTGTAGATATATCAATTTATATTTATTACGTGTATCCTCGGCCGAGAGTTCTTCGATCCGATGAATCGTATCATCTAAAGCGGATCCCATTATGGGCAATTGCGAAATTTTCTTTCTTTGTCCAGCCTTGATACAAAAGTGCGCTACGATCATCTTCACCGGATCGGACGGCACTCCTCGCCGAGGAAACAACACAACAAATCCAAAACAAATTAAAAAAAAAAAAAAGGAAAAGGAAAAGAAATTACAAAAAAGAGAGATAGAAAGATAGATTAAATAGAGATAAAAAATCTTTGAAAATCTGTGTAATACCAGACAATTGTGAACATGTAGTGGTGGTTGGTTGGGTGGTGGTGGGATGGTGTGTAGGTGGTGATCATTTTGCTTTCGCTCGTTCGGAGGTCGATCGGAGGAGATTTTTCGGCGGTCTCTCGCGCGCAGTGGTCTCGACGTGGCTAATGCACACACGTCTAACACATTTTAAGTGATGGTCGACGAGTAGCAGTAGCAGTAGTAGTGGCAGTAGTAGCGGTAGCAATAGTAGAAACGTCGGTCTCTGTGGACGAACGGTCGAGAGTCGTTTGCAGCCGAATGGACGCGCCAAGTAGAACGATTACTGAGTGGATAATTATTACTTTGCTCGGCCTCATTACATGTATGCATCGCGGTTCGTTCAGATACAGATGGCAGCGGGTTGGTGGTTTTTTCTTTCACGACGACGGAGGACTTTTCGGAGTACTCATTTTCGACGAAAACTCGACGTATGCGCCGTCGCCGTCCCCCGGATTAAAGCTGATCTCGAAGAGTCGCAGCCGGCGGCTGTGGCGGTGGTGGTGGTCGGTTGGTCGGTTGGTTGATTGATTGATTGGTTGGTTGGTTGTGGTTGGTTGGTTGGTTGGTGGTGGTGGTGAAATAGTGGTGAAAGAGAATAGTGGTGGTCTGTTTGGTCGGTCGAAAGGAAGAGTCGTAGTAGAGTGACGGTCGGTCGGGCGGTATTTNCGGGCGGGAGGACGACAGCGAGAAAGAGCAATAGTTTTCTCGATCACTGGTCCGCAGAGAGCGCAGAGCGGCGGAATAGTTGGTTGATTTTCATCGTTGAGTGTGCTGTGTGCGTCTCATGCGCGCAACGCGCATAAAAACGCATTTATATTGAGGACGATCATCACTTTGACGTGACGTGACGTGACGTGACGGACGTACGGACGGCTTCCTACCGGTGACTTGGTGGTGACTGATGGTGACTTGGTTGGTTGGGAAGTTAGTGGGCAGGCAGGCATATTTTTTTGTTCGAAGTTTTTGCTTTTCGATTGCGACGACGATTGCGAGATGATTTTACATTTAGCTTTTTTCACGGTGGCTGGAGTAGTAGTAGTAGTAGCAGTAGTAGTAGTAGCAGTAGTAGTAGTAGCGGGGAGACGTAGAATCTGCAAACGTCAGTTTTAGCAATATAATCATCAACGTTATCACGCTCCTGGCCACTAGATCCGCGCGAATATCTCTTTCGTTTCTTTTTTTTTTCTTCCTCTATTCTCTTTTCGAACGGATAAAAAGATCGCGGAACCGAGGACGAGATGTGACAATTGCATATTGTAGACGCGCGCCTCTCGCTTTTCGCCGTACCCGATCGATTTGCATTCTCGTTGTCCTAGACTGCCCACTCGAATGCGAATACAAAAGTAAAAAAAAAAGAGAGAGAGAGAGAAAGATAGAGAGAGAGAGAGAGAGAGAGAGAGAGAGAGAGAGAGAGAGAGAGAGAGAGAGAGAAAGAGAGAGATAGAAAAAGAGAGGATCTCTTTGTGCCTCGTGCTGATATCGACTCGGATCTATGTGATGGATGTATTTTGCTTCAGTGCACCAATATTCTCGTCGCTACGCACCGAGCAATATCGATCATTCGTTAGAATTAGAATTTTAACTTGCACACCTTTGAACTTTCTAATTTTTTTTTTCTTATACGGTGCGTACACGAGGAGAAGTGACAGAAGCACGATCGTTCACCTAATCCAACCTGTTCACCGTAATATTTTTCGGTATCGGAAATCCGCGAAGAGAAGTACCACAAATAGCTGCGATAATTGCAGGAGTCACGTGCGCATGAACTTTACGTCTCGTCGCTTCCGACTTCAAATACCGAAAGGGTTTCTTCTCACTCTAGAGCGTTTATCAAATCGACAACGACACAGCACGCGTTTGTCTTCGACTTCCGCGAGCCTCCGGACGAATCTTGCTCACGAATCGTTATCGCGTTTGTCTCGCTGACCTCACGCTTGCCTGAAATCTCGACTCGACGCGCCCTTTTTTTCATTTTGCCGCGTCATTTCTCTACCCTCCTCGTCGTCGTATATATACCGATTGCGCGCGAATGCATTCGCAGAGTCCTGCCCTCCTCCAAAAACCCGCATGCCGATCGAAAGCCCTACTCTCTCTTTTTATACCGCTCCTCGAGTGTCCACAATTAATCATGATCGTGATCAGCCACATCTTTTTGTTTGCTTAATCGCGAATTTCAACCGCACGGCGAAGAACACGGCGAAGAACACGGCGATGGAATCAGTCGATCGGCGAAATCTCGAAAGTAAACTAAATGCGAAGTAAATTTCACGCCATTCTCTTCGTATTTCCACTTCATTTTTCTTTCGGTTCACGTAAGAGTACGCAAATTTGGATTTTTTCCTTTTGATAAGGCAATCTCTCGCGGGTCCAGCAGTTTTCCATCACCGTTCTTTCAGACGTCTCTAGACGCCTCTAAATCACTATCATACTACCCGTGATACATAGATATATGTATACAATGCGTGCAATATATGTGTGTAATATACTACACGAATGCAAGCTCGTGGAGTATGTAATATATATATATATGTATGTATACCTACTGCACTGCCACCGGTCTCGTTTGGCCAGGGCCGTAGGTCCTGAAAATTCTCGTGAAGCGAGGACGTAATAGTGATGTGAAAAAGAGAGGAGGGAGAAGGATAAATAACGAGCAATTACCTCGAGTACCGGCTAAACGATGATCGCTTCGGGCTTCTGGACCAGGATCTACAAAAGATTAAAAAAAACCAATGTACGTCTTGTCTGCCAGTGCTTGTCAGATCGCCTCACATTGATTTGGCTTTCATTTAGCTTAGTAGTCGCACCTGAAAATTCTGGTCATCTTTGAGGAAAAGAGGGGAGTAGGAAGACAAAAAGATCAGAATAGCAGAGAGAGAGAGAGAGAGAGAGAGAGAGAGAGAGAAACTAAGTGGATGTTTTGCGTAAAAAAAAAGCGGGATTAAGAGGAACAGGGAAGCCTTACCTTGGGAAACGACCCAGGGATTTCCTACGAGGACTGCGCGATGTGGACCTATAAATTTGTCAGGAAAGAAACAAAAAAAGATATATCGCACGTAGACCTGATTGTTTGCGGAAAGCGTATACACGAAGACGTTACGAGAAAATAAAGAAAATAGTGAGTGTGTGAAAGTGAGAAAGAATAGAAAAGAGAAAAGAGAGGGAGAGGGGGAGGAGATAAACAGACACGAGGATTGCTAAGTGATACCCGAAAAATCATTACCTCGACTTTCGTTACGATGAGGTGAGAAGATTAAAAGAGATTTTGAAAAATAGAGAGAGAGAGATGATGGCAATTATTCTGTTGAAATATATGATCAAAAGTAAATTATCATTTGTATGTCACATATTGAATTTAATTTGCATCTCTTATATTTCTTCTGCCTCAACATAACAGAAGTGATTTCTATCTCTCCGAGATATCTGTCCCTGTTCGTGACTCGATATGTAGCAGCATAGACTCTTAGCCGCACTTTGACTAATCCCCAGCAACTTTCACCGTTAATCATGCAAATGACTTAATCTAGAATTGCAAACTTATAGAAGGCAAGGATTAGCCAGATGGTGAAGACCAAGAAGAAGGTAGATACGTAGAAACCCAATGTGTATGTGTGTGTGTATATGTGTAGATATATGAACTATATACATAATGTATATATATATATTCAGCAATCCTACATAGAAACATAAGAAAGTGGAGATTAATCGAGTCTCACGATAATATACTAGAGTAGTTGCATTGAAAAAAATCTTCGTGCATTATTTCTTCCAGATTAATTGCATTCTTACGCTAGGTAAGAAGGAGGCTGTCCACCATCATATGTATATATATATATATACACACATATATATATATATATACATATATACCTACGTTGACGATGGATGTACACGTACTTAGCCATCTGTAGCAGTTCTAACGTTTTTTTATGCTGTGAAATATACGTACTCACACGTATTGAGAGAACACTCTTACCTGGAATATCGTGGACCCGGTCGACGGCCGCCACCACCACGCCGGCTTCTGCCAGAAGACATCTCTACTCTTACTCTGGTGCCACAACAGCGCCTGAAAAATAAGTCACAATTAATACATATAGTTCTAAAATGTAATCCCTCCCTATCATGAATTATTCGTCTATATTTGCCGTCCTTCCTTAGAGAGAGACAAGGAAATTACAAGGTAGTTTAGAAAATTATTTAACTTACGTTCCATCTAATCCCCTCACTGCATCCTCAGCATCTCGTGGATCTTCAAACTCTACGAAGGCGAAGCCGGGTGGGTTTCTGGCAACCCATACGTTCCTTAGTGGGCCAAATTTACTGAACGCACTTTCGATCTCATGTTTGCTGGCACTGCTGCCCAGGTTGCCCACATATACTTTACAGGACAAGTCCCACTCACGGTAACGAGACATCTTCTTGCTCTTCATGGAAATTACAATACAGTTGAATAATTTGTAAGACACATCAGATGAAGTCATTTTCTTTTAATATAAATGTACAATCGAATATCGTGGAGAATACAATCGTTACAAGCGTGATAACTTGCAACGTACTACTAACGCCATTGTGGTGGACTCATTAACGCAATTAGAGTGAACAGAGAGCGGTTTGTCAATAACCACTGTGGCTTAACACACATCACACCGATACGTGATTCATCTCCTCAACAACTTTCGATATGTATAAATAATAATTGCACCATAAAGACCAAGATTTCGCCCGACTTTCACTCAATCAATCGAAAGCCGCATAATCACGCCCAATTCATCAATTATTCGAAAAGATCCGCCATGTTTCACGCCGCGTCTGATTTATTTTCCTCCGTATTTTCATCTCCATCGTTTGTACCTCTATTTCTCCCATATGTAGTATCTCGTGAAAATTGGAAGATCGATACTCCGGTAAAGTTCGAAATCTTATCCTTATTAACGCGATCAAGCTCCCTCCTCGTAGCCTGCCGCTAATCCCGCCATTTTGGCTCGTAGAAACGCACACGAGGCGTTCTTTGGCCCGACGCTGAAATTGACTCCAGGAAAAATCTATTTCCCGCGTATCATCCCCGCTGAAGTCGAGTACTCGATTTTGACTCGAACATCATCTTGTCGGATGAACTTCCACAAGCGCTTACCTTCGTAAGGTTGACTGTTGGAGCACAACTGGACAAGCTGCCTCCGTAAACACCTCCTTCTTGCCAAGTGCACGTACTAAATGCCACAAAATGGCTCCCGATCCTTCTTACTTTTCGAATGTTGCGCCATCTGACTACTATTGAAGTCAAATTAAGTATATAAAAAAGTCTAACACTAACACTAAAACTACCGACGATTAAGCACCTTTCCACAGGGGCAGTTTGAATAAGATTTTTGAAAAATACGTGATGCAAAGGAAAAAATATTTATTCGTTTGCGCATTGCGAAAAAAATTCATACGGAGCGTGAACTACAGTGTCAGTTTCTTATTCCAAATTTCATATGTAGGAAAATCGTTGAAGGCAAAATATCTATAAATTCCTAAATGCTACTCTTTTTTCATACATAATTTAATATTCAAATCTCGATTTTTGGGGAATTGAGTTTTAGACACTAACTTTAGTTAAAATTATATAATCATTATATATATATATATAGGGAAGTTCTCTCGGCAGATATACATGTAACTTAACAATACTTTTACCTAGAAGGGTTATGATGCCCCATACACTTCCTATTACATCATAATTAAGATCCTACGTTTAATGAACCAGTCTCTTGTAATCTATCTTTTCGAGCTGTACCAATGGTCGTAATTGTTCCGCGAATATCCTCATGTCTTCCGCGATAGCATCCTGTCCACTGGGTGCCAGCACACTCAGTTCCACCAGGTAACTCTGTGATATCGGCTCCATGCCGCCACCTTCCATTTTGCCTTGGTTCATTTTGAAAATCTTTGTTACAGTAATTTTCATACGACCCTTGCGGAACATATAACCACGTGCTATGTACTCGAAGTCCAATTTGCAACCAAGCTCGGTTAAGAATTCCACTACAGTATTGCTGGTGGCTATGTCAATGCTGCTACGAACAATCGTCGGTCGTGATTTGTCACCTAATTCTGGTTGACCAATATAACGTAATTGCCATGGCATGTCTGCGTGGTTTTGATCCAATGCACGTCGAACACGCAGGAGCAAAGGTTGTTCCTGTGGAGCACCTCTGAAAGAATAGAATATAATTTCTGGTAAAACAGATAAACATACAAATATTGTTTTAAATTACTCAAAGCTAATCTTGGACTCCCAAGTATATATCAATGGAATTAAATTAAGTAACTACAACAGTACCTGCGAATACTAAAACACATCTCGTGATCATCGAATTGCTCATGCCCAATATCAACATTATCACAAAGACCGCCCAATCTGTGTAATAGTACTTCTACACAACTGTCCAGCACAGATCCCTGCAGTAGATACTCTTGATTGGGGATTATGTTGGATTTAAGTGCAGCGCTGAGACTATCCATAGCAGTGTTGATGGAAGTAGTCATGATTGTTCTTGGATTTCAACAAGTACTAAACTTGCAGCTGTTCAAGGTAAATCAGATAAACACTTAAACTTTATTAAAAATAACGATCAATATTTATAAATATATTTATAAATAATTTATTCTTACCTTCTTCTTTTATTATCCCAGACTGCTGCTTTTTTTTAGAAATGCTATTACATGCTTCTTTAGGTTATTGTTTTTCTTCGATGCAAGGAAAATGAATTTTTCTTCATACGCATACGTATGCACACGTAAATGCCAAATATATATCGTTTACAACGTGCTGCGAATGTTCGGTTTACTACTTCAGTTTCTCGTTAAGTATAATGACGACTCGTTACATTACTAATGTACCCATTACAAGAATAACGGGTTTACGGAATTATTAGACTCGTTATTTTTGTAATTTAGTTCCAGAATCTCCGCTACGAGTCGCCACAATATTTAACGAGAAACTGAGGTCGTGATATGACTAAACGATGGAATCGGACGTACTTTTATTTCTCAAGTAGTATGACTCAAGGGCTGATTATACGTGCTTTTATCGTAGTAAAACATAGGTGAAATTTAACAGGCTGTAACTTTCGCAATAATGATGCTATCGAGATCGTTCAAGAAGCACTTTAAAGCTTAAAGTCTCTAGTTTTTAACCATATTAGCTATATTAGGTCTGTTTTATTTCGCTCCACTAAAACTGCACTGGAACTGCACTGAACTGAACTGAACCGCACTGAGAAAGACTAGTACAGAATAGTTCAGTTCAGTGCAAAATGCAATGAAGAGGTCTGTTCGTTTTTGCCGTACCGCTGAAACGCTAGAGTGTAGTAAACAACATGGCGCATCACATGGAATTATTTGATTCTTCTGACAAAAAGGATTTTATTGTAATACAACCACTATACATAGCAAATTTATGAATAATTTATAATATTATATACCCTACCGATCATAAATTTAAATAAATGACTAAATATAAAATAAATATAAAATCATAAAGTAATGTATCTTGACATCTTAAATCCATCCTTGTGGTATGTTTAAACATTTCTGCTGTGTATGTGTGTGTGTGATGGTATAATATTAACACTTTTTGAAAATGAAATATAAAAGATGTTTCACACATTTCATTATAATGCAAGCCACGTACCTGATAGAGACTTTTCGTATTTCCGTTAGGCTTACATGCACTTCCAAACTATATTCTCATGCACTGCACTGACCACATCTCCTGACTCAGTACAACCATCTCCTGACTCAGTACAACAGTTCACTGAACTGCCTGCACTACACGCTGTTGCACTACGAAAACGAACAGCGTTGATGACGTCATGATGACGTCATTCTCAACAAAAAGAACGTTTTAGTGTAAACTCCTTGCACTGGTGTGCACTAGTGCAGAAAGTGTTTCGAAAAAAAACAGACCTATTAATATTGTCGTTAATTTTCGTCAAGATATTTCGAGCTAAACGAAAAATGGCGACCGCTTAGAAGCTATTATAACTTCTACCCACAGGACGCGACAACGCTAAATACCGTCTCCTTGAACGCACCTTTGAAGTCGAAACGGATTAATACGAATATAATTCCGATTGGTCATTCCCCCACATCTTTTCCGTTCTGTTCTTTCGTTGCCATGTGACAGCATCCTGAGGCCTCGGGACTTCTAATAGTTACATATTACGAGATCCAGTAGAGCTAAAAAAAACAAGTTTATTGATTTATTCTGATTTTAACTTATAATTGTTTTTATTGCATGAAATATGTATTTCTTTGATGTATGAACAAAATTGTTAGTAATTTAGCAACAACGACGAATGTGAACGGTAATGCGGAATCCTCTACGTCAATGGTCGATTCATGTGACAGTGTTTATTTGCACTGTCGTCGTGCAATCTGATATTTGTTTAAAACTTTTAGTTTTCCTTCAATTTTGGTGGTTTTAATCGTCTAAATGAGCGCCAAAGATCAGTATCCGTGCGTTCTATGCAACGCAAAATTCAAATCCAAAGATTTGCTGCAGGAACACTTTAGGTATGTTTCATAACCAAAATTGTGAATTTTAGAATTGTCAATCTCGAAGTTGATTAATTATTAATTTATTACGTTATTGTTATAAACATTGTTATAATTATATTTTGATTAATCAGATACGACATTTGGAGAAGTAGGGAAATTTAGAGGAAACGATCAAAACTTAAGAATGTACATGAGACAAAACATCACCATATATATATACAACAGTTGATATTTTGAATTCATTTTTATTGATAAAAGTGTCTTCAAAAGTGGCTTAGAACCACCTTTTTGATGGAATTGGCTGAGAAGCCACATTAAAATGTTTTTATCAATATAAGGGAATTCAAAATATATGGACCAATATATTTATAATGGTACAATATAAAAAATGATAAATATAATACAGTGATTTTAGTTTTATATATGTATAGTTTTTTATATTATAAGAGCTATAATATGAAATATTTTGCAAAATATTATTTTTTTCACAGAAAACATGGAAAAGAGTTGGACATGCGAGGAAAGCCCATTGCCAGTGGATATTTTAAAAATACTAAATGTGACATATGTGGGACATCGTTTGTTACTACAAGTGCAGCAATAAGGCATAGATTTAAGAAACATCCTAATGCACATACAAAATTTTACTGCCATTATTGTGGAAAGCATTTTCCTCTAGAAGTACATTGAATTTTCTGATATCTTTTTCTTCCAGTTCTTTTTAATCTGCAATAAACCTATATAATGTTTATTTCTTTAGATTCACAGAGATCATCATCAACTTTCACATGACAAATCTGAAAGCGAAAGGAAAGAACAGCACAGAAAATGTGAAGAATGCAATGTGTTATTTTATAATGCAAAGGCTCTGAGATATCATTATCGCTGTCATAAGTCGTAAAGTCCATCAAATAATAATAATAATTTGCCTTTAAATTTGTCCATTTAATAATGATTAATTAATTTGTTTTTAAAAATATATATTTGTTATTTGATTGGTTTTATTTTTCAGAATGGAACACTTGCTTCAACCTATAATCACTCCTCCTCCCAGTAACAAGGTGAAAATAAATTCCATGAACGACGTGCTAAGCGTATACTATTGTCATTTATGTGGTGTTGAGTATCTCAGTAAATTCAATCTACAGCGACATTTGAAGGACAGACATATGCAGGTAAGACAAACAATTCATACATAAAAATACTATATATATAGTTGTACATTTTGTGCTGTGTCACAGGATAGGGAAATGATCATGTCGGTAGATGTAATTAAGTGTACAGTATGCACGGCAGTATTTTGCAGTAAAAAAGCATTCAATGCCCACAATAAATTTCATCAACCGAATGCTGTTGCTATCTCTGAGCAACAGAGGCACAATGTGACCAAAATCAATCTGGATTGTGACAGGAGGATAGAAACTGTAGCCGATAAATATATATCACGATCGAATGCTTCTAAGAGACAGGTCAGACTTTGGTGAAAATTCAATTGAAATTTTATTTCTACTGACTTTAGATGCATAATGTAGAATATGTTACAATTTAACATAATGTAATTTCAGCTGAGTAAAAAGCGGATCGTGGAACTGAAAGAAATAAAGCAAGAAATAAAAGAAGAAGTAAAACAGGAAATAAAAGAGGAACTTATATCATCTTCTGACGACGAACTTGTATACATAAATGATTCCGTAAATCCAGTAACTTCAAGAAAAATCTGCCATTAGAATACAGGATTTCCCTCAGCTGACAATAATTTCATCATTGATTGTGGAAAGGTTTCACTTGTCTTTCAAGAAAACTCTGTTGCGTGAGAAATTTGTACGAACTACAATCAATCGAGTGGCCATTACCAATTTAATTTAATATTTGTACATTTCTATTTCTTCTTTTCACATTTCTTATCATGATATATCGAGGATAACGTGTAGCAGAATATGTACGATACCTCGCGTGTATTTAGCCTACTTACGTCATGATTGAAAAGTTGATGTTTTAAGTCTGGTTAAGAAAAATATTGCAATTGGATGGCGATGTAATTTTCACGTAATAATTTAGTATTCTGAGCGCGATTGTATCTCTTTCGATTTTTTTTTACTACTCCATTAACTGTGATAGTCTCTCAGATTTTATTGTAAATATTAATGTATTTGTCCTTGTTCCATCACTTGACCCTAGCACTATGTATATATTCATTTGTAAAATATACCTATATGTATACACATATAGTCTGTCTAATAAGAGCATCATCGAGCAAACTTTGAAAATTGTTGCATCGGTATTAATACCATCTGCTGAAGAATGGTTTTCAAACAAAAGTCAAGACTGGATTTTTCAAGACAACAATTCAAAACATCAGAATTGTCTTTGTTACTAATAAAAAGAAAAAAATAATATCGAAACGTTAGATTGGTCATTACAGTCATCAAATCCTACTGAAAATAATGTCTGGAGATCAGTGAGGATGAAGCTATGTGAAAAAAATGTGTACGGTGAACAACTATCTTGACAAATTCAATATGGCGATTTTAACTTCAAGAGTATGCTGTAACATTGGTGGAAAGTATGCACACAGATGTCAGACAATAATTGACAACGATGGTGATTGGACGACTTATTAATATAAAAGCGTCATAGTAGCGATTGAATACGGCGTATGTCACTTTTATTTCTTTATAATAAATTGCTTAAAAAGTTATGTCGATCATAATATTTGATTGTATTCATTAATCATTCGTTATCACAGTTAGTACGGTATATTCTGTCTTGAAATGTTTATAAAATTGTAAGATATTCTATATCTAAAAACCACTAAAGCATACATTAACCTTCTCTTCGCTATAGAATTATTACCTTCATTTATTGTACTGTGGATTGAGAAATATTACGCTACTATTCTCTTTGTGCTTATTGACTTTGTCAAGAACTTCCTTTTCGATCTTTATAAACATTCTTCTTGGTCGCCCAATTAGTTTTAGTTTTCAAATTTCTCTTTTGAGCAATTTTAATTATCTATTTATTAAGAATTTATATCTCATGACTTTTTTTATATTCTTTCTCAGAGAGATCTCAAGGAAATATGAACATGTATTTATGAATATGTATTTATGAATCATTCTGTATATAATTTAGAAGAAGAATAGTTAGGTTCATATATATAATCTCGTATAACTTATTTTGACACATTCTAACGTAGATATCACTTGTGCGTCACGCCACTGATGATACTCTTTGCGTTGGAAGATCACGCGCTAACAGGGAAATTTTTGTACGAAGAGCCCCCGAGATTTCCCAAGATCTAGGGACTTGGAGTTGCGCTAAGTTGACAGCGCGCACTCGTCAGCAGCGGAGAGGATGCGGCGGCCATTTTGGATTATCGGCGTTAGCATCGCGAGCCCGCGTATGTATGCGTACGTGTGTATAGTGTGACTAGGAAGTTCGTCGCGTATATTCGGAGCACATCACGTCGTCGAGTCGAAGAATTGATTGTTGGTGATAAGTCGCGTGATAAGCCCGACGACGGTAGAATGGGCCGCAAGAAGAAGAAGCAGTCGAGACCGTGGTGCTGGTATCCTTTTCGTACTCTCCCCGGGGGAACGGCGAGAAGGACGATGACAACGATGACGACAACGACACTACGCGACAACGACGATATGAGCAGTCGTCGCTTTTACGTAACCGTATTTTTAGATCGCACACTTCGTTCGTGGCGACGGTTCGAGTAGCGCGATCGAAACCGTCCGTACGGTGGCGACGATCTATACGGGGGAATGAAACGACGATCGATTCCCTCGGGAAAAATTGCGAAACCGCGCTCGATGGAGAGGCATGTGAGTGTTGCTCGTGGCGAAGGCGGGGAAATCGATATACACGATCTCCTCGCGCCACCGCGCCACGCGTGCATCTGTGTGTGGCATGTATGTGTGAGCGCAGCTGTTTCTCTCCGCCGATGCACACGACGACGTTACACTGTGATGTAACGGAAGCGACCTATGCGGAAAGTCCTCGCCGCGGATGTAAATCCGGGAAAATCGATCCCCCATCGGTTTCCCATGAGATTATGAGTACTTCTCGAACTCCGAGCTTAATCTCTCGTTAGCTACGCTGCCCAACTAATGATTTATCTTACATCAAGTGACTGTAAATTGAAACAAATAAATAAATCGTNGAAAAAGGAAAATTTTTTTTTTTTTTTTTTTTTTTTTTAATTCATTTGCGTTCCCATCAAAGTGAATGATGGATTCCTTTATATTTTTAATTGTTACCTCTGACATTATCTACTAAACATCTTTGACTTGGTGTACGTTGAAATATCACTTGTAAGATGAACTTCCCATATGATGTTCCTTAACATTTTCGAAGGTATTGCAACCGAGAATTTGAAGATGAAAAGATTCTTATTCAGCACCAGAAGGCAAAACATTTTAAATGTCACATCTGTCACAAGAAATTATACACGGGACCAGGGCTTAGCATACACTGCATGCAGGTAATATGATTAGTCATGTTAGTATCTTGATACTCAGGTACTTGAATATTACTGAGCTACCTGAATAATACTTTAATCTTTCTGATATTTCCTATAGGTACCCAGTTAATGTGAAAATAATCCAGGTACTCGAGTATTGTGATTAGGGTACATAATATCTTACAAGAACGACAAACGAAATTAGCTGTTGAGAAATCAGGCGCTGCGAAAGTCAATAACTGATGGTAGATGGGTATTACCCAGGATTAGTATTAACTCATGATTTTTTTCGTTCTAACTGCTCGAATAACTCTATTGTATCGGATAGTATCCGAGTACCTAGTATCTGTGAATTTAAATATTTATATGTGTCTGATGGCTACATCTTTATATGCAATATGTTGTGAACTTGACATTATTAATGTTATAATACTGCCGTGAAGTTACAATTATTAAACCAACTGTTTTAATGCTCTTCTTGTTATTTGTAGGTACACAAGGAGACGATAGACAAGGTTCCAAATTCGTTACCGAATCGTAGTGATATCGAGATAGAAATTTACGGGATGGAAGGTATACCTCCAAACGACGCGAAGGAGCACGAAAGACAGAGGAACGGTGGTAGGCCAGGTTCGCCTAGCTCTGGCGAGGATGAACCGGTAACAAAGAAAGCGAAACCGGAGGGTTTATTGGGCTCTGCACCGGCGATGCCTGGGATGGCCGGAATACCTGGGATGGCACCGCAACCTACTTTGCCACCGATGCCGCCTGGTATGGCGCATCCTAGTATGGCGCCGCATCCTGGAATACCACCGCATCCTGGAATGCCACCTATGCACCCTATGATGCCGATGGGCCACGTGGGTCCTCCGTTTATGAGTTCAGGGTGCGTGTTTATTGATTATCTATGTATCAACGGTGTTTTATAATATTTTATATTATTGTTTTTCTATTAGTTATATTAATTTTCCCAATTGTTTTTATTAATTTTATTATATTAATTTATGTATTATTTCTACTAATTTATTTTATTTATTTATTGTGTTAGAATATGGAGGAATGAGCGCAGTAAGGTCAAAACTGAATAAACCAGGTTCCTTTCTTAGCTAATAGGTTGAATTAATAAATATATGTAATCTTAATGATTAATTTTCACATATTTTTATTATATTTTCTATTAAATTTGCATAATTTTATATGCATCGCATGCTTCGCTTTCAGTATGATGTCAGGTATGACGGGTATGCCTTCCGGTATGCAACCGCCGGTATCGGGCGCGTCGATCCCGCCGACGCGTCCACTTTTCCCAAGCGCCGCGGCCGTCTCGACAGCGGCGTCGACGGCGGTTACGTCTACGCCTCTTGGGACAGATTTCAAACCGATCACGTCGGTGGCGGGCGGCTCGATAGGGCCAGTGAAGCCGACATTCCCCGCTTACAGCACCGTCGAGACCGCTGGTACCACATCTAACAATAATCTCGGTGGCGATCAAAAGGTGAATTTAATTGCGACCACCGGGGCTGCCAGCAAAATCATTCACCCTCCGGAAGATCTCAGTTTGGTAAGTCCACGTGTTTGGTAATTCCATCGGTCCGTTTCACTCAATTTTAGTTTTCAAATTTCTCTTCTGAACAATTTCGATCGTCTTACTCATTAAGAATTTATATCTCCTGACTTTTGTATTCTTTCTCAGGGGCCTTCCAAAAAGAGAAAATTTGCTCATTTCTTTCTAACTTCCTCTTTAAATATAACATAAAACTCGTTCTACCTTACAATTACCATACGATATTGGCGTGCCGCAGTTTCTTTTTCAATCGGCGTTTCCGCAATCAGCCCTAAAACGCGCGCGTCCTGTCGTCTTGCAGGAAGAAATCAGGGCGAAGTTGCCGAAGTACCAACGTCGTGCCGATGAGCCGCGATCGGCGCAGTCGGAGGCGAGCCAACAACAGCAGCAGGCTGCCGCGCTGCAGCAAGCACAGCAACAGCAGCAACAGCAGCAGCAGCAGCAAGCACAGCAGCAGCAACAGCAGCAGCAGCAAGCGGCTGCTGCGAACGCGGCCGCTGCTTTTCAGGATCAACAGCAGCGACAGCAGGCGGTTGCGCTGAGCGCCCTGCAGCAGCAACAGCAACAGAGGTTTCCGAGGCCGCCGCAGGTGATGGTACCGGCCTCGGCAGCCGCGATGCCTGTGAATTCGGTCGCCTTAATGGCACCGCTTATGCGACACACTATGACACTGGCCGCGCCTGCTCTCATTCATGGAGGTAACATGATGCGACCGCCCCCCATGGGCATGCCACCAGGTAAGTCTCTACGGATTTGAAAAATCTCCGCGCCCCCCCNCCCCCCCTCTTCTCCTTTACGCCATACGTCGCCGCCAGCTACCCTCGTCTGTTTATCTCTCCCTCGGTCGTTGTGGAGAATTCGAAGATTTTTCCTTCTTTCGTAGCGTCACCCTCCGCCGATTACCGAGTGCTCTCCGCGGCTGTATTGTATCCTCGATTACAAGAGCGAGGCTCCTCTTGAGAGTGCACAGAACCGTTCATAACAGAATCTGTCGCGGTGGGGTGCAGAAGTGGAATTTCCGATGGAACACTTGTTTCTTGGCTTTCGTATTCTCCTTATAATGGTTCCCGGAGACTTGCGTGAAATTTCATACGCCGATTTTCCTTTTTATCTTCTTAACTGAATCTATATCGCGCGAAATACCTTTCTTCTGTAATCTAAATGGAAGTTTTCCATTTGTTGTCGAATATTAAAGTATACCATATTATACGAGCGTGTAAGAGTGTACAATACTAAGGTTAAGGCCGGCATAATCAGATCTTGTACTTAAGACCGTTTCAAGTTCATTTTCAGATACCGCACGGCTTGTTTCATTGGTTACAAAGCATCTGGACATGAACTTAAGGCAGTCTCCGACTAAACAGGATCCGACTAAATAAGATCCGATTATATAAATATCCGGCTCAAGTCTGCTACTTTCAAGGATAGCTTCAGTTCTGCCGGATGCAGAGATTATTCAATTCGCGCACACGATAAGGCGCTACCCTCCGTGCGCAGGTTTACTTCTTATGTAATTATCTTAATTCCATCAGTTTCCATCGGAAATGCTAATTATATCCTTGTACTTAATTTTGCGCAACCCTCGTTTATCATCCCTGTCTAATTTTACGCGGTCGATGTTTGGAGAAGAGTTCTGTTCACACGGGAAACGAATAAGACGGGGAAAGAAAGCGAAAGCTCAATACTTCTTAAACTATAATCGATAATTTCATCTTCACTGGCGCCAAATTATACTCGTCGTGGTAATTGTTTTTGTTGTCTCAGAAAATCGAACTAAACGTGCTATAGGAAAAGATAACGAGAGTGATTAAACGGATCGGGGGAGGGGAGGAATCAGGAAATTGACGACGTGTGCAGGAAATTATATTCAAGAGAGAGCCTGTGCGTGCGCGCGCGCGCGCGTGTGTGAGTGTGTGTGTGTGAGAGAGAGAGAAAGATAGAGGCGAAAACAATCAATCACGACCATTGTTCGATATTACTGTTAGCACGCTCTCAAGATTTTTCAACCGTACGCCAGATCTCAATCTCACGACGCAGCGTGTCTTGTGCGTTCACGTTTTTTAACGGTGCGTTTGCAGGGCGCCCGGTCACTCCTTGGTGAGTGTCGAACGAACCCAGTCTGGTTACTAAAACCGCGTTTTATACCAAGCGCTACAAAGGTTGGTCCTTAGCAATTAGCATGCGGTGACATGGCCTATATATATATCTATATATATACATATATATATCTATATACATATATATCTTGTTATATTTATTATTCTTATATTGTTAATTAATCTTATATTATTACTGTCTCATCATTGTCATATTAATACGCATACATTTATTACGTATACGTGTCATGTATACGTACAGCGGCTCGTGTAAGTGTTCGAAGGGTGTCGCGCACATCTAGGATTCACTTCGTATCGCCGATATTCGAACAGCTTCCGCGAGCTACCGTGTGTATATATTTCCGTATATTTATATTATTGTCACTGGGCAGGTTGGGTCGAGCGGCCAACGACATGTACCTCCTACTTCCATCCGTTCCAATTTCTTCGACGAACGCCACGAAAGATACTTTGATTTCGATGAGGACCCTCGAGTCCGGGATTTAACCCGGGTGAAAATAACTCCTCTCGTAGAAACTAGAGTAACGGAGCCTAATGTGATGAACAGTAGAAATAATAGTGTCGTAATAATCAAAAAGTCGATCATTATGTAATTACTGCATCTACTCTGTCACGTCTCTAAATCCGTCTTTATTTCATCTTTGCCGGTACTTTGTCTCGTATCTCGCTTGTGTACGATACTCTTCTTCTATACTATTCTTCCGGCCAATGACAGAGTACGAAAAATTATATACACAATTCTTTTTTATCTTCTTTATGCCTTACACAGATAATTACGGAAACAGAGAGAGAGAGAGAGAGAGAGAGAGAGAGAGAGAGAGAGAGAGAGAGAGAGAGAGACTTCCGGCCGCTCGGCCATTACATTATTTATATCGTATATGATTTCTTTGTTTCCTCCTTCCGTTCCGTTTCAGCTTCTTTATTCATTCTCTCGATTTAACCATGTTTTTACTCTTCTTACGACTCACTCGCCATTATTTACCTCGCCAGCCGTGTTACCACACATCCTGTCTCTCTTCAGTATTACTTATATATATAGCTTGAAATCCTGGTGTTGTGATACAGTAGTGGAGAAACTGCTTTTTTGGGCACGGTACTGACAGTCGTTCGAAGTTGTCTTCGTTCTTAAAAAAAAAGAAACATATATAAAGCAAAAGAAAAAGAAAGAAAGAAAGAGAAAGAAAGTAACGATAACTGCAGTAACTTTCACGCGGCAAATTTTTCCTCACGATTTATCCCTTCCTTCTTTTTAAATGATTAGATAATTGCCCGATCGAGAGCGAAAGAGAGAGAAGTCGATTTCAAATTGTGCGAAAAATTTTGCACATGAACGATCATTCGCCACTTGTGAACGGAACACCATGGAAATTTATAATAAGAATCATGAATGAATAATGACCAAGTAAATGAAGATATAAAGAGGGAAGGGATCGAGTTATTTTCGCCGGTGCATTTTGTTCGACTTCTTTTTCTTTTCATGGAAAATGACAAATTAGCAACGAGAACGAACGTAATGTATCTCCCTCACACCATAGCCTAGCTTTTGTGTTACACGAAAGATCTTAGATTAATAAAAAAAAAAAATAGAAAGAAATGTCGAGCCGAACAACAGTAAGTAAACGACTTCACGTTACTCAATATATCTTACGTAATTCTTACGCTCGATCGAGGATCCGCGATTAACGATTCCGTCTTCGGGTGATTTCGAGCAAGTAACGTCGGAATTAGAGAACGTGTCGCATGCGAAAGGAAAAGAGCACTTTTCATCGAACGATTTCAACTACTTTTATTGACGAATCATATCAATACCGATATTTATCGCGTCGAGGTGTTCCGGCACATCTTTATTTCTGACGTTTAAAGCTAACGTTCTTGGGAAAACGTGTCCGGAAAATATGAGTGACAGCTGAGCGATCCGCGCGCTTCGACGATATCGAACCAATCGCGCGTTCCCAAGCGAGACTCGTATACTTTGTATATGGTGTGAGTTCCTTTTTATTGTGTGATACCACTTTCTTGAAAGTTCTTTTTTTTTGTCTCTGACTTGTATTGCGTATGCTGCGCACTGCATGCTAAGCTGAGTTCTCTCTTCGTACGTACACATATACCTATATATTTACCGTGAATAAAAAAGGAACGATTGCCCACCCATCGTCCTTTTCGGCGTAAATTCCCGCGAAGAAGAGAAGATACTGCTGCGAAGTCACTGTCGGAAATATATACACATCGTTTTGATTTCTATTAATATATACATATATATTGCCGCGCAATATTTATCTCCTCTTCGCGTGAGATTACATCCCGGTGAAAGGGGATGAGGTGTGCAAGATACTTTTTTTACTCACCGTATATTTAGTTTGGCGATTCGCATTTAATGAGGTTGGTTGCTGGGTAGAACGTAGGTGTACTGCCGAACAGGATCGACCACCCTGTAACCAGATGCGTGATGTAGTTCATTAGAAAGAGAAGAGAATACATATCGGAAAAGTTGCGCAAATTTTTGCAAAGAAGTGTACTTCGCTTGGGGGTCGAGCGGAAAATTCTCGCCCGGCCGACTAACACTCATCGGCAATTAGGCGATAGATCTCGCACGCGAATTGTAATATCTAGAGGTCCCGTTAAGAGAGAGAGAAAAAAAAGATTCGATGTAAACTTCTTTTCGTTGCAACAATCGATCGATCAGCTGTCACATGACTATCCTCTTCAATGGCGAAACATCTCGCGAGCTTCTTTATTTTCGCACTGAAGAACAACGCGCGATCCTCCAAAAAGATATAATGCGACGCGCGGGTTACAATGTAACGTGAACAGTCGCGACGTAAGTACCATTTACGAAATAGCATACGGGCTGCTTACGACTTTGACAGAACCAACTTCGGAAAGCGCATAGAGAAGGCGTCCCACAGCAAGAGAAATTCACGCGAATCCTTCTTCTCTTATTTCGGCAACCTCTTGCTGCGCTGTCGAGGTTCGCCCTGTTAAAGCCGGAAACGACCGGTATGCTGAGGATCCTTCAAAGAGTGAGAATGAGTGAGAGTGAGAGAGAGAGAGTGAGTGAAAGAAAGAAAGAGAGAGAGAGAGAGAGATATTCCACGCGACGTTTGCGACGTTGCAGTGGCCGAACACCCGCTCGCACGTGTCCGCTCGCACGTGTCGCGTCGTGCTTTCTTTCTCGCGAGATTCTGCCGGCCGCGGATCGTATTGATCGGACACTGTGTTACCTTGCAGGTATGATAGGAGCCATACCACCGGGTGCGATGCATCCGGCCTTCCCCATGGGATTCCCGGCGCCGATGCTAGCACCGATGATGCATCCACGCTTCAGATGATCGCCCCCCATGGACGGGCCCAATCCCCCGCCGTTGCACTTCGTGCTGTGGGCCCGCCCCTAAGTCTCGCTGGGGTTCGGACCTGACCGAGGAAGAGACACGGACACACTCAGTTGACACGACGAGGAAAGGGGGAGAGAAATGGGATGCGAAAAGAGAAAGAGAGAGCGAGAGAGAGAGAGAGAGAGAGAGAGAGAGAGATAGAGATAATGGGAGTTGATTCGCGCGGTGAAGCTTTCGCATCCACTTTGATTCACGTCGCGCAATTCGACCGCATCCTCTCCCATTGCGACGTTTGGATGATTCAAGGTCCTTGTTCTTTTTTTCTAATCATATCGTTGAAAGACATAGAGATGAGAACTACACAGACAGACAGACAGACAGAAAGAGATTGAGAGAGAGAGAGAGAGAGAGAGAGAGAGAGGGAGGGAGAGGGAGAGAGAGAATGAGAGTGAGAAAGTGGGAGGGAGAGAAAGAAAAAGAAAGAAAGATTGACACACACCGCACGCCCACATCAGTGCCTGAGAGGATTTTTTCGAAAAATCAGTGCGCGCTGGAAACGGTCGGTTTCTTCATCCTCTTCTTCTTCTTCTCTTCTACTACTACTACTACTACTATTATTATTACTACTACTACTATTACTACTACTACTATTACTACTACTACTATTTCTTTTTCTTTCCTTCTGTTTTTTCTTCTTTATCATCATCTTTACTTATCACAAAAATGTTAAAAAAGCAAATACGCACGTTAATTGTCTATTCGGCGCGAGAGCGATGCGAGTCCCCATTTTGTGAGATCTGTTGAACACAAAGTCGTATCTAAGATGGATCTTACGAATTATGGATTATTTCGCTTTCACGACGAATTCCTCGATTACGGCAGTGGAGTAATATTGTGACGTAAAAAAAAAATGAATTGTATTTTCGACAACAACGAAATGCCATGTGCCACATCCCACGTTTTCCCTTTTAAAGAGAGAGAGAGAAAGAGAAAAACGAGAGAATGGGAGAGAGTGAGAGTGAGAGTGAAAGAAATCCCACTCCTATCACGCCAGTAGACCGTTTCCACGCGCTGTCCCTCAGCCTCTGCACCAGTCCTTTTGGAGGAGACGCGATCGCGGACAAGGTGGCGCTTCACGCTGCAGCTGGACTCGATTCGCGATCCTCTCGACTAAAGTAGGGTTCTCGAGTTAGTCGAAGGGTGATAAATTCATAGTTCGACCTCTTATATTTAAGATTACCTCGAGTATGATTTCTTAAGTTGCTGTATGGCTGTTTAATTGGCTTCTTGGCATCTTAAGATCACTGAAGACTACTTGAGACCGTCTTAAATATAAGATTAGATTGTGAGTATCGCTCTAAGAGAGCGAACAGTCCTTCTCGGGACTGTTCTGTTTTCGCAATGCTCGAAGCTTCTTAATTTTTCTTTCCCGCGATAACCAAACTAACTCTCGAGGTAAGAGGGCTCGCGGTGTCCGGAGTGATCGAATACGCATCTATGAATTAAATCGCGTTAAAAACGCCAACTTCAGAAACATTATTCCTCGGTTTTACACTAATCCAAGATGGTCTACGTAAGCTCCGATTTCATAGAGAAAATTGATCCTTGTGGATCACATCTTTGTCCGAGTGCGACCTTTTTCAAAAGGTTGGCTTTTTATCAGAATCCATTTCCAGCGTAGATATTCAACGATTTTGTGTCTGAATCGAGATGTTTGAGAATTGAAAACAGTTATGAATAATAGATTAAAATGATTATAGAAAGAGAGAACGTTGATCCTATTGCATATTAAATTGAAATCAAAGTTATTAATGAACAATTTCAAGATATATATATATTCTTCATTTTATTTTTTTAATCATTTTTATTTTGAGGTTTAGACCGATTATATATATGAGATGCGTTCTCGATCGCTCCGTGTAAGATAAAAATGTAGCGTAATTCTTTTGTCCCCGGGGCGGTAAGTTAAATCCCTGTGGTTCGTTCAGGGTGTTATTGACGACGGAGAATAGTCTCGGTACGATACACGTTTTGTCGAAGCAGAATCAAGAGAGCCGGAATCAAGAGAGCATAGATTGATTCGAAAAATTTGGCCACTCTCACGACACACACGTTTACAGTTTAGAACATTTGCTAGCCGCAGTGTGAAGATTCGCTCGCCTCAGGTTAGTCTGTCGCAAATTTTATTTTGTTAACACTCTACGGTCAAGTCGATGTACTCCAGCGACACGGCGAGGAAAACAGGCAATTTATAATAACAGCAACAATCGATTGGCAACAAACTAGGAAAATTACGAACGATCGATTTGTGTAGAATAAAAAAAAAAGACTTTCCCCGGAAGATGTTCTTGAGCGTTTCTTTACTTTTCACTTTGATATCTCGCCAACTAATTATTTGTAAATTTGCAAAATTCGAAACCGGCGAATTTTTACTTTTGCAAATCAACCGACTGGATTTTAACATTTATAACATTTATAGAGGTTGTTGGTGAGATTTCAACTTGGAAATGAAAGAAGAATACTCGAATTTGGAGATGTCCAATTTAAATTTATAAACATAAATATAAATATGTTATTATATCGCGATTAATTGAAAAAAATTCAATTTTCACGAATTTTTTTGTGCGATCTCAAAATGCACGATCACTCGAACGCCGGGTCGACAATGAGAGTAATCGGCTCGGCTCAAGAAAAAAAAGCCCCTTTTCCCTTGCAAGGAACATGTCGGCGACGCATGAGTGAGTGGTAAGTACGGAGGGTGCTCACGGAATCGAACACCAGCTCTCTACACTCGACTCACGCCGTTTTCTTCACTCTTCCTTTACCACGTCACCGGGTTGCCGCCGATCGTAGAGCGGATTCTCTTTATCGTTGCGATTGAATCTATATGAAGGTGTTTCATACTCGGCCCGTTCTTTATAGCCATGCTACATCGGTTTTCTGAGGATTTCAGCGAAAGTAGCACCTTCGGGTGCTGTGCACCCTCGAGTTAGCTCTACGATCGGAAACGCTCGACTTCTTCGTCCTCTCCACAGCAAACCGCGGACTTTCTTACCTTATCCCCTATTGTTCTATCTTCTAACTGGCATTCTTCCCCGTTCTCTTCTATCTTTCGTCCAACTTAACATTTTACCTTCTACGCTCTTCAGGGTGTCTATTGACTACGGTGATTACGGATTGTTCCTTTTACGTGTTTCCTAATTTCGATCGTCGAGCTCGCCCATTAGGAATTCTTCATAGAGGGACTCCGCTTCTAAAGAAAGAGAGTCTATCCCTAGGTGGAATCATTCTTGACGAGAGTTAGAACTAGAAGGGGTGAAGTTAGAACAATGAAGGGGTCAGAACGTCGATTCCGAATTAAATAGACGAATTAACGTAATCCACCGCTGCGTCATCGTCATCAAACGTTGCGAAGTACGGCGGAGCGTGGTGTCATTTTCTGTCGTATCCGCCTCAGTAGGCACCCTGCGCTAGTTATCTATTCTTTCGACTCGACTCTCAACCATCGCTGTCATCATCATTATCACTATTATTCACCACCATCACAGTCACCACCGTCACCACCCGGTACCAACACCTCCTCGACAAATAAAAGAAATACGAAACAGCATTGAAAGCGCGCCGTACAACACGTGTACGTACCTAATCTACGCATCGTTATTATAATCCTTTATTTTTCAGGGATTGTCCCTCCGAATTCGCTCATCGCGCGAATACCGCCTTCTCTCTTGCGGAACGTGTACAAACCGTCTACCGTGTATTTCGCGTGTCGCTTCGCGAGCCGGCAAGATGGATCATCGATGACCGCTTGAGAGCCCAAGAGAAAAATGATGAAAAATGATTTTTTTCTCAAGTGCCTGAATAGATACGCGCGTTCGGCAACGGCGGAAATGAAACTTTCTGAGATAGGAGTTGTGGAAAGATTGCTGTCTAGAGCTGTCGAGTTACGTAATATTAAAAAACCATGATATTACGTAAGTGGCTGTTAAGTGGTTATCCTTGATCAATCGCGTATTATCATAGAAGACGTCTCGTAATCGGAAATATTCCTTCTCTTTGGATAATTGTGTTATTCGGGCGAGATTGGCAAAGCTGCAAGAAGCTCACGAGACAAGAAAATTTCGAACGTCAAAAAACGTTGCCCCTCAGTTCCTCGCGAAAGAATAAGGGAGAAGCGCACATTCTCGCGGCTTGGTGGTTCGGCGGGACAATCTAACGGCAGAATTGGACATGTAGAAGTTCTGTTATTTATTGAGTGTCATATTATCGACTGTTCCGAATAAAGACGTTCTGTGGAAAGTTCGACAGTTTGGGCATAGTCTGCTGTTCTGGGATATGTGTCGCTGTTAGCGATCAAACACGCGACCTCGACGGATTACGCGCGGCTTACGTGTAGTGATAACGCGCGCCGCAACTCGCGTTACGCAATTATTTCACGATCACGCAAATATCCCAGAATTGCGGGCGACAGCCACATATTGTTTCAACCAATCACAGCTCTCACCGCTGTTGGACCTTATCGGTCCCTTGCCTCAAGGCAGGCGATTGTTTGGACCTACCGTCCTAGAGTCGAGACCACCGAGCTGATTCTCCCGGTTCTCTCAGAATCGATCGAAGGTGGAGAAAGAGCGATCGGGATGCGTGAACCTGCGCCACTTCGAGATTCCAAGCTCTCGATTACTTTTCGAATATCGAGCAGAGAGAAACGAATCCGGGAGTCTCGCGCGGTGCTCGGCTCCGCGGACGCGTGGCTGGACCGAGAAACAATATTAATCGTAATATCGGTTAATGAGTCGCAGGTAAATTAACCGATCGATCGTTCGGAACGTCGAAACGAGAGAGGTGGAGAGAGAGAGGGAGAGACCGAAGAGGAAGAGACAGAATGAATGAATGAAAGAGAGAGAGAGAGAGAGTGAATGAGAGAATGAAAGAGAGAGGAAGGATTGCAATTAGCGCATGTATCTTATCGGCGAATTTTAATCCTTTCAAGACGGATCTTTGGTCGCTTGGCTTTTGTAGAGAGAGAAAGAGAGACACGCATTATCCCCCGATTAACACTTTTCCTACGATTGGCGAATATGTGTCGCATAGAGGTCGTTTGAAATTATTTTCGTGGGTATCGGTAACTCGTCATGACCATTAACTATAGCTGTATGTGTTAATACGTTAATAATTTAGGCTATAGATAGTATCTCGAGTTGTTTCAAGTCGCCGGTACTTGAAAGTGCCATCGGTTGGCAGTTTGCCGCGCGAGAACATCGTTCACATATCCGTGTGGCAAAAATTATCGCTTCGAAATATCACGAGCGAGAGTTATTCCGATGAGATCGCATGTGCGTTTTTGCGAAGTAATAATCTTTGCTTATGACACAATGAACGACGTTCTTAAACGACAAACCGATCGCCGTTTTTAATCCGCGTTGATCAAGAAAGAAAAATAATTAATAGCCCTGGTAAATTTCTCTTGCTATTTTGTTTCTTCTCTACTACTTTTTTTTTCCTCCAGCCTTTTTTTCGCATTATTCCCCCGAAGTGTTGAAAGGGTTAACGATTGCTGCACGAGGATGATGCACAATTGCAGCGAACCGTGTCATTGGATTAATCGCGAACGTTTTCGGGATTGTGCCTGCGCTCGGCGTTTTCTCTCTTCCGTTTTTTCCATCTTTTTTTTTTTCTTTTCTTTCTAGCGACCAAAACCGACCAAAATTCGCGAAACAAGCGAACAATTCGTCGCGACTCTCGTTCGACAGTTCGATCGTTCGTAGAATGCTTAGCTGGCTCTCTCTCTATATATATATATATATGTATATATATGTATATATGTACAAGATGTCCCATTTCTGCCATATTATTTGTTAATGATGGATTCTTTGGTCAATTTGCAGTTGAATCTTCTTTACTGGCGAAAGTGTCGGGAACAGCGATAATTTTCGAATTATAAACGATTATAAAAGAAGAACTTCGTGTTAATTAAAATGCGAAAAGCAAATGGACGCTGGAAAATATATTCTTCAGTTAATTTAAAGTAAAGTTTGCTGCATAAGACTTTTGATTCGAGCTCAATCGCAACGACACGATGGTAAAAATTGAACAATTACAAAAAAAGAATGGAGAGTCCTCGACATTTTCGCCGGGGAAAAATTCATCGCCAAATTGTCAGCAAAAATTTTTTGTTGCAAAATAATATGGTGAAAGTGGTATATCTTGTACATATATGCCTACATACATATTTTATATATATATATATATGTGTATACCGGTGCGTTCTGTACTCGTTCGGTACTCGCGCTCACGCGCGGGGACCTTGCCTCTACTTTTAATATCCTTGTATTCCCCGTCCTTACTTTACGCTAATAATGTCTTTACACTTGGTGACAGCGGATGCACGATTCGCTCGTGGGAATCGCTTTTGCTCGAGGAACCGGTAACACGGTCCGCTCTTTGTCATCCTTAATACTATCGTTCCGCGGCATCGGTCCAACCGAGAATGAAGCGCTCCTTTGCGAATGACTCTTGGCTCCGAGACGTTCTTCTCGATGATCGTCGGTCGCAATTGATTCGCGTTCGAGAGCAAAAACCAATCAAGTAAAATTAATCATGAATCCTATTATTATTCTATTATTTTCTATTTTTATTCTTATATACACTTTTTATTATTAAATATTTTTATATACACTGTTTATTATTATATACACTGGTGTTTTCAAGCATTGTACGCTTACAGCAAGACGCAAATTTTTTTGATAAAATTTAAATTAAAAGCGTTAATATCGGTACAATAGCTTAAGTAACGGTTACGCAATGTTAGTGTAGCAATGTAGAAGAGAGTTAAGAGTTTGATTTGCTGCAATTCATTGTTACATGACAGATATATAAAATACGAAAATGCTTGAAAATGTGAAATCTTGTTTTGAGGATATATTTGGAGAAGAGTTAATAAATAAAAAGAATTTAAACAAACTAGTCATGAAATAGGATACATTAATACGTTGTATTCATTAATATGTATTCATTAATATTTCATGACACCCCTTTTGGTTTTGATAACAGTCGGAATTCTCCCCGATTGCTGTCAGACTTCGAGTAACATCATGACTAATGTTATGGTGCCATGAACAATCACTTCTTTCATCTACTTCAGAATTTCATAACTCAAGTTATTGAATACATTAACGCGAATACATTTTAGCAAACGTTTTGCGTTTTGCAATAGGCATGCACTTTAGAACACCAGTGCATTATTCTATCTCGACTTATGTGAATCCGTTATGAATGCGTCATATGCGTGCCTCGGTTTACACATCGTTTATTGCCATTACAAGATCTTCGTATAATTCGTATAATATCGCTTGATTATTCAGGACACGACTTTAATTCGCTCCCTCGATAAACCCGCCTCGGTTCTTTCACGCTTCGCGAGGCACGCGCGATTTTCCAGTGAGAAACCCAGCAAACGCGTTTCATCACGATAACGATGTTCAATTAGGCGTTTAATGGAACGGCATTTCGCGACAGCCGTGAATGCGGTAAGTCTCACTTAATGAACGCATAAACGATGTTTCGGAGCGCGTTCGATTTTCGGTCGACACATTTAACTCGTTGGAGGAAAAAAAAGCTCGCGCGGGAAAGCGGCGCGATCATGTTCGAGAGAACGAGGATCGCGCGAGGACGATCGAGTCGCAGGACGTCGCCTCTCGTTCTTGTTCGCCAAGGAGGTTCTGTTTCCGCGAGGACCGGCCGCGATTGTACTAGACGTAGCTTCTGTCCTTCTACATCCTTGTTGTTTTCAGCCGACTGCGTACGAGCAGAACGGAACAGTAATGTGATCGAAGACAGAAAGATAGAGAAAGAGAGAGAGAGTGAGAGAGAGAGAGAGAGAGAGAGAGAGTGAGAGAGTGAGAGAAAAGAAAGAGAAGGATAACGAAATAGCGAAGTGACACGAATGTGTGTACTCGTATACGGATTGATGAATAAAGAAACGTTTCGATCGAGAATATGCCGAGCGATCTTACGCGAACGAAGTCATGGCTGCGAAAATCCACCAGTCGATCGATCGATCGGCGGGAAGAGGCGCAAAAACGAACGTCCATCGGATGTGGAAAAAATCGGCGAGAATCAGACTGTGACTTCGTCCGCGACTACGCATGTCTCATTTTCTTTTCACCGCACCTGCGGAGCACCGATTCGAATTCGAGACGAGTCGTGCCGAGCCTCTAATTGTAAGGAAATGCAAAAGGTTTATTATACCCGTTATATTGTTATGTGCGAACCGCGTAATGCGCCGGCGGATGTATCGTTACACGGCCTCGCGATTTAACGAAATTCCGCCGAGTGCGAAGCGTAACTCTTGCGCGAAGCTCGGGGAAAGATCGAGCCGATAACCCGGCTGATAACTCTGTCCAGATAATCTCCGCGAAAGTGGCTCAGACCTGGGGGACTTTCTATGAAGCGCAGTTTCTCATCGCTTTCGTTTCATTTCCCTTCCTTTCTCGACGTAGAGAGAAGAAAAAAAAAAGAGGAATTTCTGCGAGGATTACGAGGATTAATGGGACGCGGCGCGCAGTGATTTCACTCATTGTGTGTGTGTCCGACCGTACCTAAGATCGTAATGAAAATCTTATTAGAGTTGCGTCACGCATTCTGCGTCAGCGACTCATCCGGATCGTGTGAAGCATGTCTTCGAGTGAAAAAGAAAAAGCAATGAGAGGAGAAATGCGAGTAAGGGACCACCACGACGATCGGACCGGGCGAGAAGAAGGTGCGAACAGCGGATTTCGCGGCTGCTCCTCCGCTTCCAGCCGTGATTGAGCGCAATTAGAAGCTAATGTCACATCGTGAGTCGGCGCCCTAGGAAGAGCGATCTCTCCGTCGCGAACACTCCCGCGAATGCCGATGGCATAGTTCGAGAGTCAAATGCCACGCTGAAGCAATAGCCGAGAGCCGGTAACTCGTATCGATTCGCCGGCGAAACGGGGACGTCGAATTTTCTTCTTTTGTTCCACGAAACAGCGCACAACAGTGCCTGCTGGGCGTACGATCGTGCACAAAGTACACCGAAGCTGCTTGTTAGAAGGCCATCCGGCGGTTCTGGGACACCTTGTACGCTCGTAACACCGCGGGAAGAGGTCAACGTTCGCGACAGCATAATCGCGTTATGTTACATCGACGCGGAACTCGCGAACGAGATGCGTAGAAACGAGAACGTCGCGGAGAGAGAGGAGCCGAGTTGAATTTTCAGTTCTTGGTCACGAAAAGGCTGAAAAGAGTAATTCAGTTGTAACAGCAGGTGCAAAAATATAGGTAAGATAGGTAAGAGTCGCGCTATAAGTAATCGTCTACGTCATCCTTTTAATTAAATTGTCGTTGTATTAATTTTCGCTCCATATGATCGTTCCTTGCGTTATTTCCAATATTAGCCAGCATTGTATCGTTTTAATGCTTTGTGAAAAGTACGAAAATAATCGGAAGTATGTAAGAATAATTTATATAAACATAGTCCCCCAAGATATCGCTGGGGCATGTCGGTATCAGAAGTTTCTGTTCGATAGAAGTAGAGCAACGCTGAGCACGGTTAGAAAAAGGAATGGGTAACTACTACAGGATCGAAATCACGGAGGAGTTTATTACGAGACGGAAATGTGAAAGATAAGTGACTTTTTAAACGAAATAATCTAACATTAAATTGTTGTATCTCGTTTGTATCAACGTAATCTTACTGCGAACAATATTTTTTAATTGCAGTAATTAATGTCGAAATTTAAACCTATATTCCTTTTTTTTTTGCACAATTATAATACCACACGTTGATATGGGCGAGGACGGTTGACCTTATTCGAAAAACGAAAGAAAGTTTTATAATTCGTTAACTTTGTCTCGTTTTTCGAATAAGATCAAAACCGTCCCTGCCTATATCGACATTTGCATTGTAATTGCGCAAGAGGATTTTTAAACTTGCGCATCCAGTAACGAGTATAATACTAACATTTGCAGTAAAACAGGACGACTCCAGGATCCCCTTAAGTCTGCGAGTGGAGAAAACGGCAATAACTTCCCATTTGCAGCATCAGAAGAGCACAATAGTGCTCTTTCGAAGAAGACACTGTAGAACTAACTAGACTTAATGCAGAACTAACATTTCGACTCAGGTAACCCGAAATTCGGCGTCGAGTTGCCGAGGACCTTGCATTCGAAAATTGACCGTGTGAACGCTTTAATTTCTCGCTTTCTCACTTCGTCGTTTCTCACTTCTTTGTTCAGTTTTTTTCTTTTTTTTTTTTTCATAAATTACATAATTGTCTTCTGCGGTTCATTCGAGTAATTCTCCATGCAATTTTGCCATCATCAACGTGCTCTATTGTAAAGCGATACCCATGACGACAATACCTGACGTAGCTCGAGCGATGGCACGCGCAATCGCGGCAATTATCGTAATTTTCCGTGCGTCGCAACGAGCCGGAGCTCGGAAACGTCAATTAATAGTCTGGCTTTTTTCCGCCGAGATATCGAGAGTCTCAATTGATATTATCGCCGATCGCGTGCCGGCGCGTGTTCGTCCGACTCGTTATCGGCCCGAATGTTTTGAGGATGTTTCAATCGCGCGTAATAAACACGCATTCCCGACGTTGACAAAAGGAGCTCTGCGTAACCCTTCGATTACGCAACGGTCCAAAGATTAGATCACCGAAGGTTAGTTCATTGAAGAACGGAGACGAATGGAAAAAAAAAAGAACGAAAAACAAGACGCTGCTCGCCAAAAGGAGAGCAAGGAGAAAAAAAGGAAGCGGCAAGGTCTCCTCGAGTTTCACGGATCGTGAACGGTCGAACCGATCGATCAACGGTGAACGACGAGCCGCTCGTCGGGCACCGCCGTATCGAGCAGGGTGCCCCGAGAAGGGGGCATCGATTTTCTAGGATCTCTAAGCCGCGAGGAAAGGCGAAGGCACGAAGACGACGACAGGCGCACGGCACTGGTGATCGCGAAAGTGAAAGCCAGGTGTAATGCACCGAGCACACGGCGAGCAGGGCTGTCCGATCGACCTCGAAAACGCGTAACACGCACACCCACACACACACAAACGTAGTAGCGAGAGCAGCGGCAGATATTGCGTGATGTTAGAAAGGCTAGAAAAATTTGCCGGGAGAGGCGACCCGGCTTCCTCGCGCGGGTAAATGCGCGACTCGCTCGTATCGAGACGCAAATAACACGCTAATCTCACGACACGCGAGTCGTCCGCGGCGTTCTCTTCATTGTGCCCGAGGTAATCGCGAATCCGCGAACCCGGGGCCCGCGATGGGAAGAAGAAGAAAAAGCCGAAGAGAGAAGAGGCGGCGGATTGTGCAATCGCCGGGCAGATTTTTTCTCATCCGCGCCCCTTTCTCCTTCCGGTCTGTTATTAACTCTGCTCGTCCGTTTATCGGGCGTTTCCTTGATGAAACGATAAATAACGGCGTGACCGCCGTTCCGGAAGGGAAAGATAGAAGAGATGTGTATGCAAAGTCGCGTTGGACACGACGGTCGGAATCGTGAAATCGTTAAACCGCGAACCTTTGTCTCGCGGCTCGTCTCGTTGTATCACCTTCCGATTTCCAGAGGGAACGGTCGTCCTCTCATTCTCCACGCACAAGGAAATGCCGTAGACAGGACGCCTTTTACCTATGTAGACGAATGAATCATCATCGTCGTCGTCGTCATCGTCATTATCATAATGACCCATCGATTCCATTGTCCCTTCGGCCGATCTCCTCGCGATCGTTCTCGCGAGGACGCTGTTCTCGTTGGATCGATGAAAAGTTCCCACACCGCCGCGATCGTTGAAGATATCCTAAACAGAGCCCGGAGGCGATCAGGCTGCTCGGAGAAGGCTCTTGTTGTTGTTGCTGGCCTCGTTCGTTAACTCGATTAATAGATCAGGCCGCTCTCGTTCTTCTCTCTCTCTCTCTCTCTCTCTCTCCTCCCTCAGCTCTCCTTTCCTCGGCTCTCCGCGCGCGATTGTCACGATGAATCGCGATGGTCGACCAGGTTTGCCGACCGGATCTCCAGCGGTACCGTACGGTACCCCAGGAAAAGCAAGCTACCTCCTCGATCCGCGGCACGCCGCCACGCCGACGCGAAATCCCAGTTTGTCGCGTTTAACCGGTGCGCGTGGTCCGACCTGTCGTGCCGCTCTCTCGCCAAGAGGAGAGATTCGAGCCCGTGTGGTGATATCACCAGGATCGCGCGTCACATCGCCTCCCGGCAAAGGGAAGAAGAAATTGCCGGTTAGATTCACCGTGTGGTTTTTCTCTTTCCTCTCGTTCTTTTCTTCCATTCGTTCCCGACAGAAGCAGGGTGAAACAGTTGAAGAGTCTCGAGCGAAAGAGTTCTGAATGTGCGCGGGGGACATTGCAAAAGCACGTGCGAAAAATCTCTCCGAAAAGTGCCCGAGGAGACGCTCGCAAAGGCGTGTCTGAAAATCGCTTGGCGAACGTCTCGCGATTTCTCGGATGGCGTTTCAAAAATGACTAATTAAAATACGCGGCTCTCGTTTACAATAATGATAATGCGCTCACGTGAATATCGCAGCATCATCGTCTCGCGCTGAATTTACATCTTAGAAAAGCGATATTATTACTCTTTTGTTCATGTACAAGAGGAAATATTAGATCGATAATTACTCCAATATTGCTTGGCAAATTTTTAACTTCGAGCCAAGTAATATTTACTTGAAGTAAAATATCCTCCAAGTAAATTATCCAGGTAAAATGTTTACTTGATTCAAGGAAAATATACTTAATCCGAGTGAAAACTTGCTAAGAAGTATTGGGATAATTATTTGCTTGAATCTTGCAGCCTTTTTTGGGTGTAAATTCTTCGTGCTGCCGACTTTTTGTTACATCACTCGACCATAATCTTCTCTCAATATTCCCAGTAAGCAAGAAGCATTAAATCAATCTTTTGGAACATTGATTTTATGTGGTTTTATAAGCCACATGATTTTAAGTGATTTTATGTGGTTTTTATAAACATTTTGACATAATATTTTATAAATGTTTTTAAACTGTTACTTGATAATGCAATATTTCTAAACATTAAAATCGTAGTGTAGAAATATCACTTTTAGAGTTTGGATCGAATATTGTTAACAATAACATTAAATATAATACTAAGAACGAAATATTTGAAAACATTACAATATTATAAAATGTCACTCTAATAACGTTGCGTTAATGATTTCCTGCTTACTGGGATCAGTTTTTCTTGATTACCGCCTCGGATATTTCCCACGATGCGAATTTGGATATTACCCGTTTTATCGTCTTCATTATATTTCTCGTATCGCGTAAATCCGATTAGCGTTTTTCGACAAATTAGCCGGCTAGCTCGACAGGTTTTGTCCATTTTCGCCAATCTCGTCGGCCTTCCGCTTCGTGGACAATCGTCGCTTTTCCGGACCGGCTCCGTTTCCGTCGAGAAACGCGACAAGTTTAATCTCGGGGCATTAACATTCGGTTGCACGCTTCGGAATGCAGGTTGCGGTGTCGTGCGTTATGCGTTATCGAAAATCGAGCGAAAGTGCTGGCGCGCGTACAATGCGACGTGACGCGCGATTCTACTATTCGCGGAGTTCTCTCCTAGGACAGGACGGAAAACCCCGTCGCGCTTCGTCGGGAATATATTTTATCCTACGCTAGAAGACGTCCATTAGCTCGTCATACTTTCTACCCGGCGATCAGAAATCGCGCAATTTCAGGGAAATCACAGGCGACGCGAGGCCTTTCCGCGCGACGTGTGCGATTTTTCGCGAGAGCGATGCTCGGAGCGCGCGTCGTCCGGCGAGGATCGAAGAAATCGCGTGCGCGCTGAAAAGGAGCATTAAAACGAGCGTGATTGCTAACTCGCTTTGGGAACGAAGTATCGCATACACCGTATGTATATATACGCGTATATATGTAAAACGTCGACAAGGGACACAAGTGACGTTTGACGTTGAGAAATATCCGGTCGGTCGGACAGCTGAGCAAACGAAGCACGCGGGAATGATTTCCATGTAAATTAAAATACCTCCCGCACATATAACGCGAGTGTGGTAACAAATACCGGTGTGAAATACCGTGTTCAGCTGGCGTGCGCGAGACCGTGAGCGGTCTTGCCCCGTTCTATCATTTAGCGCGGCTTGAACGCGGCTCGAAAGCGGTCGAAAAATCGATTGCTTTCTATTTTTAACGCCCGCCAGTCGGAAATTCAAGTCCAGCCCCCGTGGTCTGTAATCTTTGAAATGACGCTTGTCAAATATTTAGGGCGTAAAATAAAACCTCCACAAGGGAGAGAGAAAGAGGGAAAAGTAGCAGGCCGAACGAAGAAGCGGAGGAAGAACCACCGCGGGGATCCGCGTATTCGTTGCGGTCGCATGTTGCCCGCCGCGCGGATCCGCGTTGTTCAAGGTGTTAACCGTGTTACGAGCTATTAGCCGTTTGACGAGGATGGAAAATCTCGGCGAGAATCGAGCCGTCCCGCCGCAGCGAAATATCACTTTCCCTCGGCGCGGGAAGACGGTGCGTTTCCGAAAGGTCGCGCCGTCCTCGAATTTCTCGCGGGCAGTGTCGCAATGCATCTAGTTACATATTTATCTAATTTTAGCGTGTAGATACCTTTTTTGCGCATTCTTATCTGTAACTAGTTATATTTTTCACTTCAATAACTGTCCTTGCAACTGGTTCCGTTTTACCTTGCATCTAAACCGAATATTTTCGATAGACGTGCTATTTGGGTGACTCTGTGTACAATAGTCGCTTTCCAACAGGAGACAAAGTCGTTTGATCGTCGCTGGGTATCGTCTGAGATGTCATCTGTGACAATCTCTGACCAACGACTTTGTGTTTCTTAGTGCTGGAAAGCAACCGCAGTGCGTTAGTAAAAGATAGATGTATTCAATTTAGACCTTTCTCCTCAGATCGGGTTACATAATTTGAGAATAATAGCGCTCATTCCCGTTAGATCTTTAGCAGCTCATATGGCAATAATGGCACTATGGCCGGCATTAACTTTGTCCCTGGTATATATGATTCTTTTAATTTATAATAATAACGATTTTTTTTCTAATTTACAATAATAAACGCGCGCGTGTGAGCGAATCAAACGTCGTATGTCCCATAATTATTTCGTCAAGAGTAATTATTTTATTCCGACACCGATCGTAAAGGCTCGCGTGACGGATCGTGTTTAGAATTATCCAACGTTTATCGCGATTTCCGCGACGATCATCCTTCGTCGTTCGTCCATCCGAGAGATTGTGTAACATGCTGTGTAACGTTATTCAAAATGACGGTTCTATGCGACCGGTACACGCGCTATTTCGTCCGATGGTGGCCTTCGACGGCGAACACAACGGGAACGGATTCTCAGTTCCTCGAGCGCGAGCGACGCGTGCGGATTTAAGTTCGCACGCGTGTATGTGATTTCCTCCTTTCTCTTGCGCAATAAACACGACAGATCGACGGATTTTACGCGGGAACGCGAGTTTCCAAGGGATCTCGCTAAACTCCTATCGCTCAAGAAGGTAAACGATAATGGACGCTCAAGAGGATTCTTGGGCTTCTTCTCGTCCTGCTTTGCCGCAAATTTGTTCGCTACATTCATACCGTATTCTACTATATTCTATATATATAACTATATTCATTACTGGTTGCACAGAATTAAAAATCTCTTTGTACAATTACAATATATATGCCAATGTCGGCGAGGACCGTTGATTTTACTCGCAAAACGGAGAAAAGTCTTATAATTCGCTAACTTTATTTGGCTTTTCGAATAAAGTCAGCCGTATTAGCCGACGTTAACGTGTATATTGCAATCGTGCGGAAGAATGTTTAATTCTGTGCAACCAGTAACAAATATAATACTGACGGTGATTATACGGTAAAACAGGACGATCTTCAGGATCTGCTTAATTACGATTCGCGGAGGACAACGACGTCGTCGACGAGGTTTCGTCGACAGTCACGTTTGAAGGCGACCCTTTCGCAATGTACCTCGCGTCGTGGACGCTTCCCAATTTCTATAGCCGTCCTCGGAGTCGCGGGTACCGTTGTTTCCGCGAGCCGTTACGTCATTGAGATGGCAAAGAAGCCGAGACGAATGTGAAACGCATGCGGGACTCGCCGTCGGCATAACGAAGCGGACTTCTGTCGCGTAGACGTAGGGAAAAAAGCCGTATCAGCGTTTTGTCATCGCAGATCCTTCGCTTCTAAGCGATGAGTTCCTCTCGAGGGCGTCGGTAGAAAGGCCTCGCGACTTTGTGATTATCCACGTGTGCGCGCTAATTAGCGGCCGACGGAAAGCGCATTTCGCGAAGGCCGTCGATTCTCAAGGAAAAGCCGGCTGAAAAACTCGACGATCACGACACGCCTCTAAAAATCCTGTTTTCTTCCCATGTGTCCTTTACCGTCAGGCTGCCCGAATCATCCCGGGGGAGGCCCAGAAAGAGCCGCTGCCGGAGGTCTCGCCGACTTCCTACCCATCCAGCCCGTCCTGTTAATCGAAAAGACGAATATGCGCTGCCGGGCGTCGTCAGTCGTCCTGGCGCTCCTGATCGCCCTGCTGGATAGCGCGATCGGCGACCTGCACGTCGCCTTTCAATGGAAACAGATCGACTACGAGTGGCCGGGCAACGACACCAAGAGGCTCTTCCCGGACTACAAGCAGGAGGACAACCTGCCTCTTGGCTTGGAAGTGGCCGACGACCGAATCTTCATCACGGTGCCGAGGTGGAGGCAAGGAGTCGCCGCCAGTCTCAATTACATCCGTATCAACGGTGATTAATCAATGATTCTTCTTTATCGTTATTACCTCGATCTTCATGCTTCTCCTCTCGCTTCGTCGCCAGACACCCGCGAGTCGCCACCTCTGATCCCCTATCCGTCCTGGGAGGCGCATCAATACGGCGCCGCCGGCGTGCCGGAGATCGTCTCGACGTTCCGTGTGCGCGCCGACCGATGCAACCGGCTGTGGGTCCTGGACACCGGACTCGCCGACATCTTGGGTAACCCTGAGCAACAGGTTCCGCCAGCCTTGATCGTCTACGACCTCACCAACGATCGTATGCTGCGCAAACACGTGATACCGGCCGACCAGCGCACCGCCGACTCCTTGTTCGCGAACATCGCCGTCGAGGACTACTCCTGCGAGGACTCGTACGCATATTTGGGCGACCTTGGCGGCCCGGGGCTCGTGGTGTACTCTTGGAGCCTCCAGCAGTCTTGGCTGGTCAAGCATCACTCCTTCCATCCGGACCCGCAGGTCGGTTCGGGAACAGCAGCGATCGACCGATGACGCGAACCTATTGATAAATAATAATGATCGTTAGAGAATCGTCGCCTAATTGCGTATCATCGTCACAGTCAGGAACAGTGTACGTGTATTACGTGTGCACCGAGGAAAAGATACTTAAATTGATTTGTGGGACATTGGTTGCTCGCCGAAAAATAAGGCTTATCTCATAGAAATGATGTTCTCTGTGAAATAAACCTTGTATCCTATAAATAAATTTGTATGTACTTCTTCCTCGGCATGGATTGTTTTCCTTCTATCTCACTAAAGATTTTATTACGCAATTATGCATGATATCTCTGAATTCGTCGCTGCTTTAAACAGAATTTTATTTTTACAAACAACTTATACAGCAAAGTACCGACTATTTATACAAATAAGTTCTATTCAAGACAGCGGTAAATTTCAGGTATTACGCCAATCTGCGTAATTGAATCTTTGATGAGATAGAAGGAAAATACCCGACATGACTCACGTGATGTCTGGTTTAGGCGTGGCTCAGTTGCTTATTAACGCTTATACGAGCATTTTAAATAGCTTTCCTTTAAAAAAAATATCATTTAAACCGGATTTTGTAAAACCAAAGTGCAACGTTTGATGAAAAATATCCAAAAATCCTTCGGTGCATTCCACGTGCGGTTATTTTGGGACACTGTATATAATTGAATGTCTGTCTCTCTCTCTCTCTGACTCTCTCACTGTCAGTTTCTCTGGCTGTCTCGCAGGGTGGAGACTTTAAGGTGTCGGGGATAACGTTCCAGTGGAACGACGGTTTATTCGGGATGGCTCTCGCGCCCACCGGCGACGGATACAGCACCTTGTACTATCACCCGCTGTCCAGCGGCATGGAGTTCTCCGTGAGCACGCGGTTCCTGCGCGACCCGCAGCGCACCAGTACCGCGGGTACGTCGAAAAGGAACCGGGAGGATCGTTTAATCCTTCGGCTGCGTTTTGCAAAAAATTTTTTCACGATTAACCATCGTTCGATTTGGATGACGTTTTCTCGAGCGCCATTAAATCGATAACCGTAAGGCCCTTTATTTCCAATCTCGCAGTTGCGGCGAAGGAAGATTGCGAAATAGTGAAATTTATGCTCGAGCTTCCATATCCGGAGAATTAACATTTCATGATGCGTTAATGAATCTGTTGCGCGTGTCCGTCACAGAAACCTCCCACGAGTTCCAAACGCTGGGCTCGCGCGGGCCCAACGGCCAGAGCAGCGTCAGCTTCCTGGATCCGAAAAGCGGAATTCTCTTCTACGCACTTACGAACATGAACGCCATCGCCTGTTGGAGACCGCAGAGCAAGTTTACCGTGCAGCAGCAGGCTTACGTGTACGCGGACAACGTCACCATGGTTTTCCCCAATGATCTGAAGGTAGTTTGGCGCATCTCTCGAACGAGAAGCCTGATCATCGTCACTGCTCAGTCGTTCGTGAAAAATCATTAAGATTAATAATTCAGCGATTTCGCAATTCGTTGCTGCGCAGAGACTCTCTGCTTTTCATTTCTCATCGCGTCGATTATCGTTAATTATCGATTGAACGTTCACGAGTGAATTTTCACAATCCATCAGTCCCGGTGACGAATATGCAGCGCTATTTCCATGTGATTCCGTTTCGACAGATCGACCGGAAGGGAAACCTCTGGATCCTCTCGGACAGGCTGCCGATCTTCATGTACTCGCACTTGGACCTGCAGGACTACAATTTCAGGATTCTCACGGGCTCTGCCGAAGAACTCGCCATGGGCACGGTCTGTTCGTCGATGTCCCCGGTTTACCCTACGACCATGTATGATCACAGAGATCACTTGAATCACATGGATCACATGGATCATATGGATCACACGAATCACGTAGATCACGGGATGCCGCCCAGAGTCGGCGGGACATTCAATTCCGCCAGCTCCGTCGAGATCGGGCCGGTCTTGGTGACGACGACGTTACTGACGTGCCTGATCGAAATGCTCGTCTGAAGAGTTTACGTTAAAGTTATCGGTGTTCTCTAACGTCCCTAATTTGCCTCCGTCATTTGTGAGGAGAACGTCGAGTGAGATAATCGATAAACGATCGAATAATAATTCCTTCGGTATAGTGAAGTCGTTGCTCTCGCGCCGCCGAGAACAACTCGAATGGCTTCTCCACGTGTACAGTACAATTTCTTTTCGCTGATTATACGCGTCGTTCCCTCCTTATCGCGGCGTCTCGGGGTGACAAACGTTTCCTTCCTCCGCCGCGTATATATATATATATTATTATCACTTCTACCTACTCACGTTGGAACTGCCATTATATTTATGTATCAGATATATATATAATGTAATATATACTGTGAAAAACGAGAAAATATAGTGATTCCTCGATTTCCCCCCGTTGCCAAATTCCACGTAAGAAAAAAGCGATCTCGCATTCGGATAATTCCTGACGTCGAGATAATGACGTGCCGCAAAGATCTTGCATTGAAGAGATCTCCTAGATTAATCATAATTTATTATTTACCGTGAAAAATTTCGCCTCTCGCCCCTGTTCCTCATTCCGTTCTTTCATCGCAACCTCGATTCCACGCTGATCTCGGACAAGGAAGCGTCGATAAATCTCGTTGCTCAATGCAAAAACTGGCGCGTTACAATTGCTAGAGGCCACGAGTTCCGCACGTGCATCACGGAGAGGAGCGAAGAGGGAAAGAGAGCGCGGGTCCCCGCTCTGTGACGCCATTTGTGAACGTAATGAGGACTTCGTTTCAGACGAAGAGTGAAGCGATAGGGGGAAGGAAAAGATTTTACGCGAGTCATCATGCGTACGCGTATTTACGCATCTGGCCTGGCGCGTAAATAAATGTACGTCGACCTGCTGCGTCTGCACTATCTATCGAAGACGCCGCAGTTCTTTCAAATCAGCGAACAGCTGATGTACACATTGCGCCATACATGCCATTCCTTGGATCAAGAATTGCACAATTTTTAGCTTCACATATATATATATATATATATATATATGTATGCACAAGGTCGAAACGATTATAATTAGAGACACATTATAATCCAACTATTATAATTAAGGAAACTTGTGCGACTTTTGAGACATAGTAGATCACACGGTTACGTGCGATATCGCGTGGAAAATTGTAAAAAAAAAACGTTAAACATAGTCCGTCTCAGTAACAACGCAATAATATTTTTAAATGAAAGCGATAATGCTTTCACATTTCCATTATGGAAATTAAATGTATGCAATTATAAATACGCGGTTGTGGCTTCAAAATACGAAGTTATATTAACGCGATGTAGTCCATTGTGAGACAAACAACGCAATAAATGCGTCGCGGAACGACAATCATAAAAGTCGACTCAAATTTATGATAAGGTAATATAAGGTAAAATAGTTCATCGAATATTTCGATAGAGAATTTCTCGCATCGAGTTACGGCTCGAGGTCAATACGCGTTCGGCAGAAATTTTTGGCAAAACGATCTTCTTTCGCAGATTAAAAAAAAAACATCTTTATCATGGTGGAGAACAGCACGGTGCCCGGTTTGGCTCATCTGAAAGTGAGGGAGGATTACAAAAAAACCTCGGCAGGTTTTCTCGAGGCTAGAAGAAAAGTGGACGGTGCGGAAGGACTGTGGAGAATCAACAACAGTCTGTACGATCTGCAGGCGTTCGTGAAATCGCATCCCGGAGGTGCGGAATGGATCAATTTGACGAGGGGAACCGACATCACTGAATTATTTGAGGTATCAAACACAAACCCGGTGGTGAACTCAGACCCCGGCTGCCACGCTTCAACTTGACGATGCACCTGTCACGATCCAACTAATACTCTCAAATACTTCATACAAATCGCGCAGAGTCATCACGTCACGGACAATGCCGAGCAGCTGTTGCCGAAATTTTACGTTCGCGAGGCGGCAACTTCGCGATCGATGCCTCTGACTTTTCTTCCGGATGGATTTTATCGTACGTTAAAAAAGCGTGCGGTAGAGGCACTAAAGAACGTCGACTTCCATCGGTCGTCCTCGACGTCAAATCTCATTGCCGACTCCTTGACGGCCATGACCATCATGCTAGCTTTAACGGGCGCCTTTATCCATTCCTATGGTCTCGTTTTTCTCGCCGGTGAGTATCGTAGGAATTACGGACGAATAATCAAGATATAATTGTACCAGCGTTGATATTCGAATCTATCTTGAAAAGAAAGAAGATCTTGGCTCTGTAATGTAACGTTGAGTCGCGCAAACATTAGGCATTTCCTTAACGTGGACGGTGATCGCGGCGCACAATTTCTTTCACATGAGGAGCAACTTCCGTATGTACTATTTCGACCTGTGCCTGATGTCCTCGAAAGGATGGCGCATCACGCATGTGATGAGTCACCACATGTACCCCAACACTCTATGGGACTACGAGATGTACGCGGTCGAGCCGTTTCTACATTGGATTCCTCACAAAAATAAATCTTATATCGTAGGATTGATAAGAATTGCCATCACTCCTATCATCTGGACGTTGATGTATTTCCTTCAAGGCATACAGCGGTAAAGCTTCGCCCTATACGCGTTTATCAAAATTATGCGGAATGTATTACTTTATTTATTTTCGTCTAGAATCTCCTTAGATTTTGCTTTAATGTCGACTCAATTTTAATTCCCAGATATTATTCCGTATTTATGGAATACGGTGTCTTCGAAATCCGCGATATTATGCCTTTCCTGTTGCCCCTTACGATGTGTCTGTTCGCGCCTGAAATTCTCATCGCGTTGAAACTGTGGCTGGCGATGATACTGATCAGTAGTTTCCTATTCGGCTTGATCAGCTTCAATTCGGCTCATCATCACCCGGACATCTTCCATGACGGCGATATCTACAGGTATCTGTGGCATATATCGATTGCTTCGGACTTCTATTGAACGTCAATCCTACAAGTTTGATAGAATCTTACATAGAAAAAACAATCTGGTTGCATTAACTTAGGCAGGGAACAACCAGATGCATTCTGGTCGAAGGAAACGGAATTTCTGGTTCTCGTGACCAAATGTAGTTCTTACGAGCGGATATTCTAGTCCCTTCAAGTAGAACGCATCTGGTCGTGCCATTCTGGTTAATCAGGATCTCTTTTCCGCGTAATGATGACAATTTCCCCGATGAAGGGACGACATGGACTGGGGTCTGCTCGAAGTGGACGCCGTGCGCGATCGCAAGGTGATTGACGACTCGACCTTTCTGACGCTCACGAACTTCGGCTATCACACGTTGCACCACCTGCTACCCAGCGTGGACCATCATTACCTTCCGCTATGCATGCCCGCGTTCCTGCAGACGTGCAAGGAATTCAAACTCAGCAACGATAGCTTCACGCAGTGGGAGCTCATCAAGGGCCAATTCCAGCAGCTCATGCGAGTCACGCCGAAGAAGAATCACAGATAACGTTTTACGTTATAAAATATCAAAAGTTGGATTAATGAAAAAATGTAAATGATGATATCTATTCACATACACACATATATGAAAAGTTCTTTCCTGGGAAGATAATTGTTTTTTAACGTTTCTGAAGGAACACGTCGATAAGAGATGTTAATAGAGATTGTTCTTGATCTTTATCGAATGTGTAGATGAGCATATACAAGTAATGAGTAAGCGTAATTTTTTTCAAACTGCTAGGAGAGCTTGTCCATTTTTTTTCCGTGTATTATTAATGTAACGTATATAAAACGTATATAAAAGAAGAGAAACACACAAGCCCTCCGCTCGACCTGACAAACAGCAATAAAAATTCGACCATCCGAGGGTACACATGAGTTTTCTTTATTATCACGTAATGACGTTGCACAAAATATATTCGATTACTCTTCATACATACAAATTCGCTACGACTTGCGCGATGTAAAGTCTACAAAGCTTGTTTATAACTTAACCACGAGAAGAGATATGAGATTTAAAGAGCGAACATATAAAAAAAAAAACCGAGAACTATACGCGGTGTGACGTTGGATTTATAAATAACATATGCACGGTCGCGCGTACACAACTCGACCATTAATAAGTCTGACACGCACGCACACATCCACTACAATCCGCCGTCACTTTGAAACAGCGACTCGTGTCTTTGATCTCTATTATAATAATTGTTACTTGAAACTTGCCTCGAGCGAGATAGATAGCGATAGACAGCAAGAGCGATAGATCTAATTCCAAATTCAAGTCTGAGTATCTCATGTAAAACAAGTTTCGAGTAACGAGTTTCGAGTAACCATTCATACGAGCCTTTGTGTATTATTATTATTCCTTTTTTTTTACAATTAACACGCGCAACAATTATTGCTAAATACCAGCTTTACAAGAATTGTCCACGGAAGTTCTTACCGAGTAATGTGACTACCGTTAAAACGGCACATCGGAAATACAATTTGAACATTAATCGACTTTTTTTTGTTTCAAGACATAGGAACAATACATTTATATAATTGTTTCTCGATTCACTACAGTGAGCACGCGTATAACAATCACTAATGTGCGACTAATCTCCGCAAACTCCACAATCTCCACAAACGATCTACAAACGCAATTGTGTTACATCTCTTCCTATTTACGAGCGTACAATATCCTTGCCCGCATCGACCGGATGCCGAGCGACTGGATCTGAGAATTACAACGCGATCTCTCGCAGACGCATAGATCTATTTTTTTGAATAGAGAGAGAAAGAGAGAGAGAGAGAGAGAGAAAGAGAGGTATTGGATGACAAGTTACTTTTATTGCAACGATGAAGTTTCGTGATTCGAGCGCTCGTAAAAAACGGGAAAATTACACAAGAATTCCTCGTTACACGCGATTAAGTCCGCATCGTCGGCTGTGTTCAACAGAGAGAGAGAGAGAGAGAGAGAGCTTTGCAACTGTTATAAAATTCGCGAATCTGATTGAGGTATGCTCTTAATTTTGGTCGAATCTAAGAGCATACACCAATTAGATGCACGAATCTTACAACAGTTGCAAAGCTGCTTTCTCTGCGACGTCATGTGAAGCGAGATCGCGACTCGACCTACACGAAATGCCCTCTGAGACGCTGCGTGACTCGCAGCTGAGAAGCGAGGTCGTTGACCGCGCGTTGAAACACGAGCGTGCGTTATTGCGAATATTAATCGCAGTTGCGTAATCGCTTCGCGAAGGAAGCGCGTGAGGCGCGATCGCGTATAACGAGAGGTAACTCTGTAACGATTCAACGTACGTAGCGTGAAGTATTTATAATATCGGCCTAACCTCGGCCGTTTACCGGCTCGAAGATAACTTCGACGGTTTCGTCGAGCTTTAACGAGTGTGACATACACGTACTTTGGCACGAAATCAAAAAATGCACTACAGAGTATTCTTCTGTTTTCGCACGCTGCGTCGCCCGGATGCCACGTCAGCGGAATTTCTTTTATTAGCCGCTCGCCGACACGACGAGTTCTCGTGGTGTTCTCGAGCGTGATCGCATGAACGTGCGATGTATAAATATTTAATTATATCCGAGACGAATATATATATATATATGTAAGCGCGCGAAAATCATGACAAATGTGAAATCCGTGTTTCATCCCACCCGGGAGCGTTTTACAATCTTACATGATAACAGTAAAAAAGGAAAAAAAAAAGAACGTGAAAAAATAATTCTGAGGCTAAGAAACTGAATTGTCGATTTCGCGATGGAAAGACCCGCCGTGATACTCTAAATGTATTTGTCGACGGATTAGGCCACTGTAAAAGTTTCAAGGTTTCTTTTTTCTGTCCCTTTTTTTCTTCCATTTTGCATTTTCTACAAATGTCACGTTTTGCGGATTTTGTCCTACAACTCTTTAGATCGATACTTAAAATATGTCTACCGAGCTAAAAAGATGGTAAAAATAAGATTACAATAAAATTCTTCAAATTGAACTTATTTCTCGAAAAATTCCTATATATATATATATATATATATATATATATATATGGGTCATTCCATGTAAAAGAGGTACTCTCAAANTATATATATATATATATATATATATATATATAATTATATATAATTATATATAATAATATAATTACATATAATAATATAAATCCTATATATACATATAGTTTTTATAATTTACATATAATGTGTATACAGATTGTAAAATATCGATATATTTTTTACATTACAGCAGCCTAATCCCTTGATCGGAGGACAAGTATCGTGAACGTATCCTTTCGATCCTTCTCTTCCTCCTGTTTCCGATTTTCAGTTCGGGCCAACGGCGTGACGATTGCCTCGCATCCACGACTAACAGGTAACAATCGGAAGCTGTACAAATATTGGTCGTGTATAAAATATTATTGTGATGTTCTGTGTGTCAGCGAGGTCGAGAGTTGCCGAGTTGCAACAACTTCGGACGCGCTCCTAACGATATTAGACTATTAATTTATACAGACATGAGCACACGCAACATACACGCACACATGCACGCATCTTTCTCATTTCATTATCTAAATCACTAGAGACGTTCATTCTCTTCGGTTTCCTCGGCCAACGTGTCCTTCGTCGTCGTCTCGTTTATCCGCCTCTCCTCGTCGGAGATGGTGGGCACCTTGGTGTGAGTCGAATCGTTCCACGATTGGATCTCCGCCGATCCGAACAACCAGAATAGCACCGTTGCCGAGGTGAACACTACCGCCGATATCCAGAACATTATACGCCACTCCTCGATGCCGTTCTGCAACGTGACGAAGGATGACGTAAGAAAGCGAACGACAAAATCAGCCGAACTGCGGAAATCGATGTCAGCTGAGCTACGGGAACGACCATATGACACACGAGGGCACGACAAAGATCGATACTCGCGCGGCGACAGGCCGGAGCGCGCGAAATCTATGCGATATCGTGTACATACACAGCTGACGGATTGACGGTTGCAACATCTTTTATTCAATAAGCCTTACTACGCATCCCGTGTTCAATAGGAGAATTTGGTTTTCAGTAATAGTAGAGTATTTCTCAGAAAATACATTGCGAAACTCGTCGAAAAAAAAGTTCCTTTTAGTGTAAATTAATACATAATATCCGAAAAATCAAAGACTGGGAGAAAAATATTTACAGTATCTACCGACTGTGTATGTGTGAACTTTGATCAGATCGAAAATTATTGTGACCTATTTTTGTATCAGAGCTTTTGATTCTAATTACTTTGGAGGCTATACACCGTTGGAAATCGTTTTAAAATAGTTTTGTCGCGCAGGCGCGGAATAAAATTATACGGAGAAACAACGTACCCTTTCGTTGGTCAGGGCGCCGATAATTGGTGGGATAATGAATCCGGGGAAACTACCGAAGGTATTCATAATTCCGTACAAAGAGCCGGCGTAGTTCGGCGCCAAGTCTTGGTGGTTTTGTAAACTGGTCTGGCACGCAGCCCCATTGAAGGCCAGAGCCAATATTAACATTATTATTGCAGTTGTGGCGTCGCAACCCGCATATGTCATCACTACCAGGCAAGCCGCGGGTCCCATGTGAGCTGTTGATTAACGGTGGTACGTTTATCGATTGATATTTGTTCGCGTGCAGCCCGTCACATCTCAATTTCTGCAGCGAAACGGACGATCGATCACTTACAGAACAGCATGAATATCTTTCTGATCCAACCCAGAGATAAAACACCCTTCCTTCGCACATAATCGCCTGCCGCTGCGAACAACACTCCAGCGCCGAGTCTAGCCATGTAAGGTAACCCGGTTATCGCGCCACCCTGTAGAAAAAAGCATTTAAAACATCTTTGGCGACTATTGCTCGCAGAATGAAAGTGACGTTATCCCCGATCTGCAATAGGTGCTTTAAGCTCTAAACCTTAAAAAAGAAATTTACCAATCACAGTTGAATATGGGGAGAATAATCGACCGTGATTGGTCAATTTCTTAAGGCTTAGATCTTAAATTCTCATTGTAGACCCTCGCTTTACGATTTCATCAAGATATCTTTCCGTAGTATGAATCTGTCGCGAGTACCGATTTCATGTTGAAGCCGAGAACCTCCAGCGTGTATTTGGGCCCGTTGGTAGCGATGAAGTATATACCCCACATATTGGCGAAGTGGGCCCACAATAATACTAGGAACGGCGCGGACGTGGCGACTGCCTTCACTGGCAGTTGAACCTGTGCGTACAATGTAAATCGGCGTTGACAACAAATATTATTATTATCATTTGTTATCATATCAACATTATGTGATTATTACATCCCAGCAAACGCCAATTAACAATAACGTAACATCAATGTTATAATTTCCCACTCAACGATTTAAATGTAATATAACGCGTGTATTATGTAACAGTTACATTACTGAGTGGAAAATTACGACGCTGATGTTATGTCACTGTTAGTTGGTGTTTGGGGTAATGTGGGATATTATTATGTTCGACTTTTTAATTACATCATTATTGGACAGAATACTTGACTGATTGTACGCGTGTGCGTACATTTTATATAAATCACCCGAAGAATTCCTATCTAATCTAATCTAATGTCATCTATGTAATCATTTCAATATGCACATACCTTTTGCTTCGAAACGGTAGTACCTATTTGTTCCTTTATGTACGTTTTCTCTTTCTCCGTGATTCCCGGATGCAGATCCGGCGTGTCGTACACCAGGAACACCCACAGAGCGTAGAAGACTAACATGAGACCGCTCGTAACGTAGAACGCAGCCTTCCATCCGTAAGCGCTGATTACCGCACCGCACAAAGTGAATGTCACGACGGTTCCAAACGGACCGCCTGAAAGAAGTAACCGGCCACGTGAATGCGTATACTTCCAAGACTTCCTACTTGAAAAGAAAGACCCAGAAAGGTCGTACCTTGCATAGTCCACACGAACATGCCTTTCTCACCGGGCGGCACCCACCTGGCGATCATTGCGTGTAAAGCGGGATAAACGGCGCCCTGAAAAATTCCATTCCATTCTTATCGAAGAGCCGAACACTCAATTCAGAAGTTAGTAAGATAGTTATATATAGCAATTATCTAAAAAAAAAAAAATATATATATATATATAACGATACAACCGCGCGATAAAACACGATAAGAGATCGAGTGAAGTCAGATGTAGTAAATGAAAAATACGGCGATCTCTCGTACAATCGACGTAAAGTATGCGTTACCATTTACTAGGTTGAAACTTTTTATTATTAAAAGATTTTTAGCCTTGTCCACTCGATGTTACATATAAAAGGCTTGCAAAAGGCGCTGTAAAATTATCATCCAAGTACTTAAGTGAGGGGAAAGCATAATAATAAAATACTTTTATTACATCAATCCGATGGTATGATTTTGCTTTAAGCACTTCAAGTTTTAAAGTGCTTCTTGAACGATCTCGATAATATCATTATTGCGAAAGTTACAGCCTGTTGAATTTCGCCAATATTTTATTACGATGGAAAGTACGTCTGACCAGCTCTTGAGTCGTACTACTTGAAGAATAGAACTTCCGGGACCATCGTTTAGTCATATCACGGCCTCAGTTTCTCATTAAGTATAGTAGCGACTCGTAGCGGAGGTTCTGGAACTAAATTACAGAAATAACGGGTCTAATAATTCCGTAAACCCGTTACATTAATAATATATCCGTTGCAGAAATAATGGGTTTACGGAATTATCAGACCCGTTATTTCTGTAATTTAGTTCCAGAACCTCCGCTACGAGTCGCTACTATACTTAACGAGAAACTGAGGCCGTGATATGACTAAACGATGATCCCGGAAGTACTTTCTATTCCTCAAGTAGTACGACTCAAGGGCTGGTCAGACGCACTTTCCATCGTAATAAAATATTGGCGAAATTCAACAGGCTGTAACTTTCGCAATAACGATGCTATCGTTCAAGAAGCACTTGAAAACTTGTGCTTAAAGAGAATGGTACAGCATACATGACGCCGATTGTAGGTTCAAATGAGACTTGTGGAGCGACCGATAACTTACCCCGAAGAATCCCATGACGAAGCGAAGCGCGAAAACGAAACCGTAATGAACACCGGCGGCCCATGGCATCATAAGGTTCAACACCGCGGGTATCAGCGTGGCGAACCTAAGTCGTGAAAAGTAAACGCTGAGTTCGCGCGACAACAGATAATCGGACCAATGATTATTATCTCCCTCTCCTCTCTCTCTCTCTTGGTTTTTTCCTTGTTGATAATCTTGCTCTATCATACTTACGCCACCACTTTGGAGCCTCCATATTTCTCTGCCAGAAGACCGGCTGGTACACTGGCCGGCAGCACACCGTAAAAATATCCTGACAGCAGCAAACCTTGGATATGTTGATTCCACTCGAATCGCTCACCAAACTGTAATAAAATTCGTAATCGTATCCACATTCTATAACAAGTTTCTTAGACACTTCGCCTGCGACGGAACTACGCTGGTCAACAAAAAATTGCACCCTGGATCTGAACCGTTAATTCCAGTTATATTGATGTTGTAATGTTAATCACAGATATAACAGTTAAAATCAAAAGTTAAGCAACGATAAAAAAAGAATTTAATACAAAAATAGAAATTCGAAAAGGATACATAATTTATGATGTGAAATTTGCCGACCAGTGTTATTGTCTATCTCGATACAGCCGAATTGTGTTCATGTAACTTACATCATGGAGCACACCCGACCCGTTGCTCTTCAAGTCCGTCACAACGCATGCGGGTCCGGTGGCACCGCTTTTGCTGGTAACACTCACCATAGCGACAATGGTTATAGACAAATTGGTGCGGATGACGTATGAAAACATGCAAGCTAAGAACATCATGGCCCCGAGGATTCCCCTCCGGGGGATCTTCTCTGTAAAAGGCATCGCGAGAAATTTATCGGGATATCCGGAACTCTTGGCCAAGTAACGTCATAATATATACTTTTTCGACGGTGATTTCGATTAATCATCACAGTTCACAATATCAAATCAGGTCACTTCCGCTTTCAACGGTGATGTAACTTCAACGGTTGATGCTATTATGTAACTGCTGTCCGAAGTCCTCATCGAAAGATAATATATATTCTGACGTTATATTATAATATTATATAGATTATTATCGTTATATCGCATAGTTAACGAATATTAATTAGATGTCTATCAATCCCGGCCGATTAATCGAGCTGCTCAAAAGTAGCCTTCACGTCTAGGTTGGTCTTCACGTCATGGTTGTGTTGTTGTCAAATAAGACAACAACACAAACATGAATATCATAATGTGAGACGCTTCTGCTTGTCCCGCAGTGAAGCGCAGTCGCGAAGCTGACCTTTGAGTTCAGCGCGTAATGCCTAATAATTTTAAATGAAGAATGAATGACGTATCTGCCGACAGCCAAGCGTCTCATCTCGCGTTCCATTATGTACATAATATCAAATAATGCAGCTGCACTTGCGTGCGATATTGTGTCGTCGCGCATGCAAGAAAAACGAGAACGCCAACAGCGGCAGAATTTCTTGGGCGACGATATTTTTTTTATCACTAAACCAAAATTAAATCGTATGCAATTTTGCTGAAGGGTACTATTTGGTACTTATTGTGGCTCGCTTAAGAATATATTACTATTAATACCGTATTTTTAATGATGGGCCCCTCATAAATTTCGTATTTATCAAGCAAACTTACGTTCTTATACATTTATTTCACTACCTAAGTGACAAATTGTTAATTTGAAACGAAGCTGAGGTAGACATACATGTAAACAATATTATGAATACGAAAATATTATTTTTTATTTTTCTCATTAATGCATTTACGTCTAATACAGATGCACGGATCACAAAAAGAGGTATATAAATGCCTAAATATTTTGTATCAATACATTCTGATTAAAGAACGGAACGAACTTTTGCAGGAACCCGCTATATATTAACCGAACCGTGAAGTCACTTAGAAACGCACTTGAGACGCAGCTCGCTCGCAGCCAACCCTGACCATATTTCAAGAAAATCTCGTCCAAGGAGAAGCGCCATCGGAGCGGCTTATAAACTCCAGAAGGTCACGACACACGCCTCATTGGGCGATTATACTTCTCTCCGTATTAATGACTGCACGTCTTCGTTCAGCTGGGATCTCACTGATAATTACGCAGCGAAAATCGAATCGATAGAGAGCGAGGCTGCCTCGCGATGCCCCGTGGTGTCTCTTGACTTCTCGCATTGCGTGATACGACGCTTCCGTTTCTAAATCATCATAAGTTGTTACCGGAGATTGAGCTGGCTGGACTTAACATACGTCGCTTCCGCATTCTAGTACGAGCGATCGCAGCTGACAATCACGCGTTTATGGATTCCTCGGATAAAAGAGCGGGCGGAATCTGTCGTGACTTGTAATTTCTCCGATACTACGACGCGGCGATTGAGTCAAATGTCCATTCAGACTTGCCGAGTCACGTGACACGGTTATTTTCGGGAGCGGCGAAAAGCGAAGGGGACCTTCGCATCAATTCGGAAACCAGGGATATTTAACACCCCGCCAACTGATCCTCGATTCGAGCCTCGAGAACATTTCGGAGCGAGAATATCCAATGTTACGTAACATTGTTAAATATTATCTCTTTGGCTTTGACGCCGTCGACATTTTTCCAAACTCCAAGTCTAACGTCTGCGGGAGAGGATGGTATCGTAGATTCGCGATGTAAGCGCGCGACGCGCAGCGAAATAATTGCGTCATCTAACCGTTGAATCGCGTAGATTAGTCGATCGTCGCGGATCAAACGTGAACCCCCGCGCGTTCATCATCACTTGTGCGACGAAAGTCCGCCTTGACTTACACGGAGGAAAGAAACTTCGGTTGAATTAACGTGCACGGAATAGAAAATGCGTCGAGATATGAAACCACGAAGTTTTCTCAATGGAAAAGAAGTATTACTTCCAAATATAAATCTAATAAATACTTCTAAGTACAACTCTAATAAATACTCTCTTAAATTTGGAGCCATTTTACACTCACATTCAGTAATTTATTTACGAATTAAGATATTCTTATCTTCATATTTTTCCTCCCTTCAAGTAAACATTTACTAGAAGCTATTAAAATATATCTAAAAATCAAAAAATATCAATAAAATAAATCAATAAAAATATGACTTGATTTAAATGAGACGGAAAAACAGAAAATTACTTGATTCTAGTATTTTTTTACCGTACGACGATGAACAAACTGAAAGCTTGTTCTCGTTGAATGGAATGGGTCCTTACGAATTAAATTCGGTTCTCAGAACCGTAAATCCGGTTTCTTCCGCGGTTTGGTTCGTTCATCGTCAAGCTGATTCAGCCGATTCTCCTTTTCCTCCGTGTAAAACTTCGCGCTGCGACTTTGCATATAAATTCGCATTCTCGATGCAGTTCGAGCCACGAGCGCGTCGGTGTTCCTTTTAAATCGTTTCGATTATCATACTCGTCGGACGATTTCCGTGTTATTGTCTTTGACGGTGTGTACAAAGGCCAAGGAACGACAACGACGTGAGGCCGACGCGAAAGGCGCGTTCATAATCTCGCTAAAGTAACGCGGTGTCACATTATAAAGCACAACAACGTAGTAACGTGAAAACACGAGCGAGTACCTCGCCTGAAAATAATAAGAAAAACAAATGCAAATGCAACGACATGGCATTGCAACGGAACGTCAAACAAACGATATTTCAAGTCATCATGTCTCGAATGTTGCGTAATATCGTATTTTTTCTCTTTCCGCACAGCCGTGTGTAATAATCGTGCGCAAGTGGGCCGAGTATGTGTGTCACGCGCGACAATATTTTATTACCAGATAACAATAATAATATAATATTTTGCAACGAATTTTATGGGGAATAAAGTTTTTGCTGCAAGCTAGCGATACCGTCACGTTTACAACACCGGGCGATAATTTTTCAGGCAACTTTGTACGCGAGTCGGCGAGTCGTTCACCTCGTTAACAAGACAAAGTCGGGCAGTCTTGAATATGCGCGAGATGCCCGAGAACTGTCAAGCCTAATTATCTGCTTCTTGTGTGCCTAATTGTCTGCTTTTGTGAAATTTTCTTTTCTATCTTCGATCGAGTCGACTTCGGACTATTTCCAACGCCACCAAGAACCGAGACCTCGCTGAAACGCGACACAATCGACTCCGACGCGAGTTACGCGCGCGGAAAAAAAAATCCCGCGAGCTTTTTCCTACTTTTTATGGGGGGGGGAGTGGTGAGGGCAGAAAAAAACACCGAGCGTCGAGTGGCCGTGAACGTGTTACATGAGCAGAACGTGCTTCTTCTGCACAGTCTATTTCTGCGAGGTACGCGGGAATTAGCGGCTCGAGTTACAGGTAGTTTGTACGAGATGGAGATGCGCGCGCGCGAGCGAGGGAATGAACGCGCGTGTAAAACTCGGCTGGGGAAATGTGACACGCGGCACCGCACAACGCGGCATCGCGAGGCTGCATAATGCGATGCGCAATGTTTGCTAATTTGAATTTCCGCTGGGACGACGCGCGAAAGCCGTAGCTTTCCATCATGCCGCGCACGTGCGTTGAACGTCTCTCTCGCGCCCGACGTTCTTTTTTTATTTAGGGCCGATTATGCAATCCTTATCATATTATTTCGATGTTTATCGCGAGGAACAGCCGGGGCATGCCCGGCGTGTAAAATCACGCGAATCGCCGAGATATTTGCCGAAATTGCGTCATAAAGCCGCTGCGCGCGCGCGCGCGCACACACGGACTGTTTCGTGTGTGTTGAGAGAATTTTCAAAAGAGAAGAAAAACTTGATTGCCGACACAAATGACAGCTCGCTTCCGGCGAGTCGCGAGGAATGTCGGGTCGCAACGTACACGACGCTCCTATTAATTACGTGCAATTAAAGCATTAATCCTACTTCGACTCACTTTGTCATTATTCTTCCTCTATATTTAGGTGGCAAGTGGCGTGCAATTAGAGACTTCGCAATGTGTTTACCGAAGCCACCGAAAGATCCCCGCCGATTGAACATTATCAACAGTATCGATGAAACTTGACACGGGCATTCCAGAACGGAAATTAAGACCGGCAGAACTTCTGCTTGCATTCCGCGTCCTGCCTATTGACACGCCAAGTTCATACGTTGCGCGCGTAAACGTGATCCGCTTGGTTTATCTGCGAGAGCATAGTCGCGATAAACCACGGCCGGGTCGTTTTCGCATGCTCGGCGTATCGACAATCGCTTCGGCGCGGTTGTAATCGCAATGTCGTTGCAATGTCGCACGTTATCGGCTAAGACCCGCGGGCGCATAGAAAAAGCGAGACTTGAGCGATAAGATCAAGTTGATCAATCACGATTGACCAGTCCCGTTGATTTTCCTTCTATGCGTGACCGGTCGATTTGTTTACTTGCTTGCATTTGTCTGCGTTTACCGTGGCTTTAAAAATCCCACCATCGTACTAACCGACCGTGATAATAATAATAAGCCTGAAAGCTAGAACGGACCGTCACAGCCGTGGCGATGGAACGCAGATGGAATCGGTCATGCCGGGCGGGACCGCCGTCAATTGACAGGCACTTACCGTTGAATTTCCGGAAGAGAGCCATTCCCGCCGAGTATCTGTATCAGTGTATCAAGCGTGAGAACGTCGGGCGACGATTAGCGGTGCGAAAGGCCGAGCTGTCCCCCGCCGGCCTGGAACTTCGTTTGAACTCCGCCGCTCAGCCGCGCGGAACGTGACGCGTCGTCTTGTCCTCCGCTTGGAGGGACTGCCCGACTGAGCCTCGCTCTCGTTTTCTGCTTTTCGGCGTATTCGATCGATTCCGCCGACTATTGGCCCCGACGGTGTTGCGTCATTCCGCCGCCTTCTCGCGAAATTCCAAGTGGTCGAGGTGCCGCCGTCACGACGCACCGTCCCGCTTTTTTCGGCTCTCACCTCCGCGTGGTGGGTGACGCACGTTGACCGCGTGGCTTCTTCGTGAAAACGCCGTCTCTCTTACGTGCGGACGCACGAAAAGCACGCTGCACCTGCCGTCATACACTCTCTCTCTCTCTCTCTCTCTCTTTCTCTCACGCACGTAAAGCCGGGGCTATATTTAACGGCGGGCTCGCCGATATTAGAATTGCCCGGGTTTTCGCAATGTTGTGGCACGCGTGCGCGCACGTGCTCCGCGCCGGCTGGAAATCAGAGAAAACTCGTATTAGGTCAGCAGGGAGACGACGGGGGAGGATCGACCGCGAAAGGAGCTCGCGCGAGAAAGCATCGTTATTTATCGGCCGCGTCAACGACGTCGCTTTTTCGGGCGTTATGGAAAGCCGCGTGACACGCAACTTGCCGGCCTTTTTCCCATGCAATTGACAGTGACATAATATCAATGTTATCATTTCCCATTCAACAATGTAAATGCAATATAACGCGTGTTACGTAACAGTTACATTGTTTAATGGGAAATTATAACATTGATGTTACGTTACTGATAGTTGGTATTTACTGAGACCGAGAATCTTCGATGTTGAGCCGCCGAGGCTTTCGGATTCCACGTTGTTATCTGTCGTGAGGCCAAACGATGAATAAACAAATACTCATAAATGTGTTAGGTAATTAGGCTTAATGTACATCTAGTATAACTTACAAACCTCGCGTTAAAAATGGCTATATCATCAGACCCGTCTAAAATTTACTTTCAACGATCCGTTATTCACGACGAAATTCGGAATGGAATTCTGTTTGCAGAGAAACACATTCGAACGCGACAACGATAATAATATACCAACGTAACACGAATGAATAATTCTTCGGTTAATATTCAGAAATATCAAAATCGGTAGATATTGTCAAATTAAATATAAGATAATCGGATTAAAATTAAATAGTATTATCTTCAGAAATAGTTAAGAAGTGTTATATTCGTATTCTTAATCCGCTTAATCGCAACACATTTTCTTTCGTCGTTATCTTCTGAAAGCTTACCTTAAAAACAAAGCTTTTGCGGATACATGTTTACTCAAGATTTTGCTTATTTTTCAACATTGAATCTATCCTATAAGTCGGTAGAGTTGAGATACACCCTGCACACACACACACACACAAGTACTACATGATTGTACTATAAATATCTAAATACGTTCGTTACGTTAAAGACCATTAAATAGAATACGTTAAAGACCGTTAAATACTAAATATAATATTCAGTATTAATATTAATACTATCGCGAGTCTCATCCCGGAAGAAGGAAAACGCGTTCCCGCCGTACTGTATATCTGATACTTCAATTATCTAACATTCCTTAATCGGCTATTCACCGCGTTTATTTAATGTTCTCTCGCAATCGTCGACAATGCTCGACTTTACGAGGTGCCTCCACACTGCGATATAAACTTTCGTGTATAAATCTTACATTTCCTAAACTATATCCGACGGTACGAATTGCCTGGAGAGACGCGTATGCAAACGATTGGTCAAATTAATCGTAATCACGCGTTATAATTCCACGTTGCGCCAAATATATCGACTGCGCGTTACTTCGTTTACATGTTGAGAAAGAGAGCAATTCCCAATCTTGTGTAATTCGCATGATGGGCGTAATTAATGATAGGAAAGAATTGCATCATCGATGCCTCACGCTTATCTCACGTAACGACAATCGCTATGAATAAAATTACGGGAGAATCGAACGATGGAATCTGCATTAAAAAACGTTAACAATAAGTTCACGATATTTTTTCACGTAATAATATACAGAAACCTTCGCGTTGTCGAATACCGTTGCATCACTGAAGATGCATCCTTCGAACCCTTCCCGAAGGTTTTCCCGATTTTTCCCGATTCTACTACACACAAGTGTCAACGTGGACGCGTATGGTGCGAATTTTCGAATCTGTTCGGAGACCCCGATGTTCGATCCGCCTCGAAACACCCGCGATTTTCGAGCCGCCCGAGAGTCGTTTTCCTCGTCAACCGCAAGGATTAGACGCGACCGAGCGTCGAAAGTGCATTCGACGATGGGGAAAACCACCGCCGATAAAAGAAGGGCCTCATTAATAGCGAAGCTGCAAGTGTGACTAACCTCAATTACCGCCGCTCCGTTTTCTTCCTCCCCCACTGCGCTTGTTGCTCGCGAAATTGCGCGCGAAAACGGCTCACGACGATCGATAATCCGGGAAAGGAGCAGGACTTCCGAAGCGGGACGCGAGCGGGCCTAAAATCAAAGTAACCCCGTCATCCACTTGCGCTCCTTCGGTACGAATAAACTTCCGGGCGTGACTTTACAGTCGACAAGCACGTCGCCACGTCGTCCGGCGCTCGCACTTCCGTGGGTAAAGATTCCGCTCGAACAAGTGGCAGAAGAGAGTGTCGTCGAGAGAGTCTCGGCGACGTTCGAACGAGCGACGACACGGTCAAACGGTACAAATGGTTGGGACGCTACTGAACGGAGATACGTGCCGCGCGTCACGAAGTTGCTCCCTTTCGCCGCGAGGGTGATCACGTCACGCATCGCGCCGTTAATGACGTCCGCTATACCGCCACGGTAGCGACGAGCACATCGGGCGTCATTAATGCCGCATCCCCGATCTCGCGAGTCGAACGCGTCGGTATTTGTGCGTCGTACTTGTCTGACAGAAAATTAAAAAAGAACCGAATTTTGGAGGTTTTTGCGTTACTTTAACACGGGGAACGTGTTAAAAAGTACACGAATATGATAATAACATATCTACCTTGTTAATATATTCTTTTTTTAACATATTCATCTTGTTCACGTAACGCAAAATTTCAGTGGGCCGTTTTTAACACGAATTTTTCTACCGTGTATGTTAAAAGTGAAGCGTGCTTTTGCTTCGGAGAAAAATAACGAAAGAGAAAAGCGTATACTCGGGAATTACAAGAATTGCATCATGTTTCATTACCAACGTATATAAGCGAGAAATGAAAGAAATATGCGAAGCTACGAATTCGCAAGAAAAATTGCGTAAGGTGTTTCCGAGTTGATAGGACAAGGACGGTAACGATTTTGAGACTCATAATGAGTTTCATTATGCACATACAATTGTATTTCTGCAGATAGTTGCGCGAGTAGGAGCGATGTAAATAGAACTTATCTGTTATTATGTACATAATATTCTGACATAACGCGCATATCGACTCGCACATGTTACGCGACATGTCTTTGTGCCCAGAAATATCCAGCCTTTCCTCCGCTACTCAGTACGAGTAATATCCAGAACGGAGGAAATGATTTCTCCGGATGTCGAATCGTCCGATAACATCGCGGTTTTCCCTTGTCGATTTCCAACTTGTTCTTAGAATGTAAGAGGTGCAACACTAGCTTACAGACAATTCTGCCAAGTAATTTCTAAATTACTCTCGCTATTCGAGAGAACTTGAACAGAAAGGACAGCGAACATATGCAGTACAGGCCATCGCGGATTAAGTTAAGTGACGTTTAATTTCTACCGTATAAACTTGTAAAAAATAAGAAATGGTATTAACGTACAGCCGTCGTCGGGTTCTTAAGCATCCTTAAGACACATTGGAAGACTTCGTTCCCTTAGCAATATGCGATATGAAAAACGACGGTGTTCGTAATAAGATGGCGCGTTGTACATTTCCTGTTATTCGTAACAAGCTGCGCCGATCTCCACGGAAAAGCTCTGTTCGGGTCGGCCGATATCACGCAAAGCCATGTCTAGAATAGGAAGCCTTATGGGTTTGTCCGTCTCGTACAAAACGACTGTTTTGCCCCAGTGATCTTGATGGAGCTGCTAATCAACAAATAGATAATTTATCAATTATCACTCCGACTCGTTTGATGGATCGCATATGTCTAGTGGAGAAAATTACACAAAGAGAATGGAATTTGATTTACCTTGCACTCATCCATTATCATCTCGTATCTGTGACGTTGGTTGCCCCGTGGCGTCAGCTCGACGTCGTTCCAAGCCAGAAGCTTCAAGCCTCTTCTGTACGTTTTTCGCTCGTAATCGAAGTATGCCACGCTATTTTTACAATGATACGTAATGTTTTGTCGCGCGTGCCTCGAGAGCAGCTGCAAGAAGCTGATTTGATTGTTGTCCGCCTTGTATGTGATCTGAGAAGAAAAAGTGCAAAGATGAAATGTCGAAATTTGTGAATATCTTCTGAGCATCTTTTTTTACACGTTGACTATTACGTAATAATACGGAATTATGAGGCGTATAAAAGATATAAAACAACCTTCATGCCGTTGTCTATCTCGCTCAGCCAAGTTTCCTGCTGATCGGTGATGTGAGTGATTTCCGGTGAACGAGGAGGATTTGGCAAAACACAGGTAGCGCGTCTCCCAGCATCACAATGCACCAAGATCGCATCTCGAATATCCCCTTCGTTCGGATCAATCCAATATTCGCCTGTAATATATAAATCATATGTAAATTTATGCTATTTTTGCTATTTTAAATGATCCCAGCAAACATTATGACCCACTTTGACCCAAAAGAATGCAGTAGTCTTTGTACAATCTATGCAGTGATCTTGCGAAACTCACCGGATAATTTATCTGGATACGCGACAAATAAATCTCGACAGGTTTTCGCCGGTGAATTCTTTTGACCATCCGGCTTCACCAACTTTTGAAAGGAGGACTTTAAGTTTTCGTACGCTTTCTGAAGTAATTCTCTTCTTTCCTCTTCAGTGATATCCTTGCCAAATATCCTCGGCGGTTCATCGCCAAGTGGATCAGGTCCTTTGGTCTGACCTTGTCCTGTGCGAGTTGCAAAAATTAAGAAATTATTAAAATTAATATTTCTCAGTATCTCAAGATATACGCATGTATTTAAAAATATAATTAAAAATTTAACTCGTGTTAAAAATATAAATATCTAAATGACGTCCAATGGGAAAAATTAAAAAGTATTTCTCTATTTTACAAAAACATTAAAGAAATATTAAAGTATCTCAATATTTAGTAAAAAAATATTTAAAATATTTCGAAATATTTGAAGTGCATTTTAGAAGACTTTTGCGTCGTGTGAAAATTAATATCAAATAATATTTGCGCGTATATTGTGTTTCAACTTAATAAAATCTTACCTATAAGTGCTGCTAGAGATGCGACATCGTATCCGAAACCAAGTTCTCCGGGAGGACCAGGTGGTCCGGGAGGTCCTGGAGGACCCTGTGATCCATGACGTCCTTCTTCCCCAGGCGGACCTCTTGGTCCAGGATTCCCTAGAAATCCGATGGGTCCTGGGCTACCATCTCGCCCAGGACTACCTCTGATCCCAGGTTCTCCGTCTTTACCAGGAAGTCCTGGCAAGCCAGGCATACCCTTCTCTCCCGGCAATCCAGAAGATCCGGGCAACCCTTGCAACCCATTGAATCCACGATGTCCCTTAGCACCTTTCTGTCCTTCTTCTCCGCGATCACCCTTTACTCCTTCGAGACCTGCCGGGCCAGGTTTTCCTCGTGGTCCCTGGAAGTTGAAAATTCCTTGTTAATTTACTAGTAATTAATGTAACTTCATTTCAAATCCTAATATATAAAAAGTAGCATAGATTTAATTTACCTGTGGACCTTCCACACCTTGTGGACCCGCTTCTCCTTTCGATCCACGTTCTCCGGGAAGTCCCGCGGGTCCCGCTTGTCCAGGTGGTCCCTGTCGAAACGGAAATACATCAATTTACAGCTATTGACATAATTCTTCATGATGTCGCTTCGTATAAATTAAAAAGAACATACTGGTAATCCAGGAGGACCAGATAGACCTGTTGCACCAGGTATACCAGGCGGTCCCTTGTCTCCAGGTCGGCCACTTATTCCCGGCGGTCCTGGTTTTCCAATCGGTCCTTCCGGTCCTGCTTCCCCTACGTGACCGGTAGGACCAGGAGGACCTATTATGCCGGGTGGCCCAGGCGGTCCTTCCATTCCTGGCTTTCCTGGTTGTCCAGTTTCACCCTGCGATAACAATGAAATACGTACAAATAAATAAACTCTCTCTAACTCTCTCTCTCTCTCCCTCTCTCTTTCTGCAAGTAAAATAACTCTTCAAAATTAAAATATTTTCCATGATATTGAACATGACGAAGAATTTTTGCTTACCGATGCTCCACGTAATCCCCTGTTTCCTATGGAACCAGGAGAACCGGGTAAACCTGGCAGACCTCTCTCGCCGGGTGCGCCTTGGTGTCCTTGAGGACCAACTGGTCCTTGAGGTCCTTGAGATCCGCTTTCTCCTTTACTTCCATCTATCCCGGGTGGACCAGGATTACCAATAGGACCTGGAAGTCCAGGACGTCCGATGTCACCCGCGCTGCCTTTTATACCAGGCAATCCTGGAGCACCAGGTGACCCTGTATTCCCTGGTGGACCCTGAAACATTTTTAATGACGGCGGTTTTTGGTATTGTACATACCGTTATTCGTTGCAAAATGCTTAGAATAAATAGATAGGTCTACCTATCGTTTCATTACTGCTAGAACGAAATAATCATGACTTACCGATGGACCAACTTGCCCCGCGATACCAGGTGGTCCCATTAGACCAGATTCACCTCGAGCACCCGGCTCGCCTCTGATTCCCTTAGCACCGGTAAGTCCAGTAAGTCCTGGCGGTCCAACTTCGCCGGGACTGCCTATTACCCGTTTATAGAAATTGCGTGAGATAATTCTCTCAATTAGAAGCGACTATATTCATTGGTTCAATCAGCATTGGTTAAAACAGCATAGAGCTACTTTTTCGTTACCAGGTAGTCCTGAGTTTCCTTGTTCCCCCTTTAAGCCCGTGTAGCCGCGATCACCCTTCAAACCAGGAAGTCCTATTAACCCTTGTTGGCCCGGGAAACCCTGAATTCCCTGTAATCCCTGAAGACCTCTTTCTCCTGGGTTTCCAGGGGCTCCAGGCTCGCCAGTAGGACCAGGTGGACCAGGATCACCACGTTCCGCTGGTTCTCCAGGGGGACCAGGAGGACCAACTTCTCCCTGCGGACCACGCTCCCCAATACGTCCTGCGACAAACAGATTCAAACAAAAAATTAATTTAAATAAACTATTAATGTTAAAATTGTATACATTGTTAGATCAGCATTAATCTTTTGCAGTAACTCGATCTGAAATAATTGAATGTAATAGATTATTCGCAATACAAATGATGTGAAATACTACCTGAAGGACCTTCGGGCCCAAGCGGTCCAAACGCTCCTCTTTCTCCTTTCTGTCCAGATTCTCCGGGTAGTCCTCTTGGACCAGGAAGCCCTAGTAATCCCGGTGGGCCAGAATTTCCTTGGTCTCCTTTAGGTCCTGGTAACCCCTGAAATATATATACACAAGTGTACGTAAATATATAAAATTTCATATTTTACAGAGCAATATTTAGATATACTCCGAATATCATCCTTTAATTATCATTAAAGGTGTTTAGAATTAGAATGGATCAATCTATAATGCTAAATGTGAAGTTATGCTGGAGGTAAATCTTATTGGTTGGAGAGTTTATTTTTAAACCGTCTACAAAAAAATGGTTTTATTCAAATAAAGACATGTTACAAACTTTCTTACCAATTTTGGAATAAGACTGAAGAGTACTTGATTCATTCGAACTCCGTACACTATGTCAAGATTCAGCACATACAGCCTATAATAACTTACAGTGAGACCATCAACGCCTTGCGCTCCGATTTCCCCCCTTAGACCCATGGGTCCTGCCGGCCCCATTGGTCCTCTTTCTCCCGGAAATCCTCGTTCACCTCTGTTGCCAACCGATCCCAGTGGGCCAGGAGGCCCTTGCACGCCCGCTTCCCCATCTTTGCCTGGAAGGCCTGAATTACCGGCGGCGCCTGGGAGACCCTGAAATAAATGTAAGTTTCACTCGCACGTAGAAACAACAACAACGTCGTTTGTTCCGTGTATCGCGAAAATGTAAATACATTTCTATGCTGCGTACTTGAAAACCTCTGGGCCCGACGGGTCCCGGAGGACCTCTCGCACCATCGCTTCCCGATGGCCCAGGTGGTCCTTGCACTCCCGGAGGTCCTTCCTTGCCCATGTCACCTCTTGGACCAGGCGGACCCGGGTTACCAGCCTCACCGTCCTTCCCTGGTTCTCCCTGTGTATATGCGATGCCACAAATTTTATTGTATTAAAAAATTCATACATATGAAATACAAATTTGTTTTTTTTTAGGAATATAGAAGATAATATGAGAATATAGTAAAAATAATAAAATGTTACACGATATGTTACACATTTTCTTGCGCTTCTTTGTGAGTCTTTCTCTAGTTCGAAAAATCCGAGTATACTAATTTACGAAGAACCATTAATAGATTACGGGATATCCTCTCTCTCCAGGCGTTCCTAATGGTCCCGGTAGACCTTGCAATCCAGACGGACCTTGCTCCCCGGGCTTACCATCCGCACCTTGAATCCCACGCTCGCCAGGATTACCTGGTTTGCCGGGGGCGCCGGGTCTACCCATTAAACCACGCGCACCCTGAAATGTTTAATCAATATTTGTATGTACTATGACTACAGTATGGCTACGAAAGATAACTTCAAAATATATTTATGAACCTGTAGTCCCGGCGATCCAGGCCGTCCAGGGTCTCCGGTAGATCCTTTCGGCCCAACCGCTCCAGCGGGACCACGATCACCGGGCTGTCCTGCAAGTAATTCGTAATTGTGATCACTGACAATTCATTGTAATTATCGCGCTCATATCATTTTGGGAAAAGAAACGTTGCAAGTGAAAAATATTTTGCGGAAAGAAATCCTACCGAGTAATAATAACTGCCAAAAATAGAAGTTACATTTAACTTCCATTTAGTTGTTCATCAATTAATAAAATTTATATTATGATAACATGTAATGTTATCATAATATAAATATAATAAGTAAAATTTTCATCTTCAACATTTTAAAATATCCAAACTCTAAAATGTATAATAAACTATACCTTGAGGCCCGACAGGACCGTCCGGCCCAGGAAGACCTCGCGCTCCAGATACACCACGTTCTCCGGAAGGGCCCGCAGCACCGACTGGTCCACGCATTCCTCTTTTTCCCCTTTTCCCTTCATTCCCTGGCGGTCCTGGAAGCCCACGTGGACCGGGTACTCCCGCGTCTCCTTTTACACCGGCATCGCCTTTAAAACCCCTTTCGCCAGAAAGACCCTGTAAAAATACCAAAGTTGTACACAGCCTAATGAACAATTATCGTGTAATTCTGAGTAACGCGTTAATTATACATACGGGTGCTCCTTTGGCTCCAGGAACGCCAGGATTGCCTGCTATCCCGGGCTGACCTCGTGCACCTGGAAATCCGGGCACACCAGCGGGTCCTAATGCTCCAGTAGTTCCTTTTTCGCCGGGAATTCCGTCTTTGCCTTGCGGACCTTGCGGGCCCGTTTCACCAGGCTGCCCTGGACGACCACTTTCGCCTTTGTCGGAAAATATGAGTTAATATCACAGTCGGGAGGATATTTTTTTCATAAATATGACATACTTATTCGTAAGTACTTCTAAATTTGGTCCTACTAATTTATTTCTCATTGATCATGATCATAAAAATAATCTTAGATACTCAAGTTTCGAGTATTTACATTACCTTTTACAGAAAAATGACAGAAAAGAACTTAGAAAATGATAAAATCAACAAATGTTTATAATTTAATAAAACTAAGCGAGAAAAAGTTTCTTCTTACTTTAATGTGGATAATAACGAAAATATCTTACCTCGCGGACCTTGCAAACCCTGGCTTCCTTTCGGTCCTTGCGCTCCTTGATCTCCCTTAGCCCCAGGATTGCCTGGGAATCCTGGTGAGCCAGGTTTACCCACGGCACCCTGAAACGACATTAATGTTATGTTCAAACAAAAATTCTTAATATTATGCTAAATATGTAAAAAATGTTTATTCTTTCAGAAACATTTCTTAGATAGTTTCTACATCTTAGAATTGTAGATTGTTTAAACAGAGCTCACTCACAGGTTGTCCGGGCGGCCCATAAATTCCGTCAACGCCTTTCATTCCAGGAGGGCCCGATGGGCCTTCTCTACCTCTTTCACCGCGTGGTCCTGCTGGTCCCTGTGTTAATAATAGCGAATATTTGTGTATGGAAATGTTCCACACAATTTTTATTCTTTCAATATTAATTTCTTAAACATCAGTAATTTTGTAACTAGGAAAAATATTTTTTCATGAATACTGTTTTAAAAATTACGTGTAATATATATTGATATAATAAATGCTTAGATTTTTAAGTACCATTTGCCCTATCGACCCCATGGGTCCAGGTGCACCCATAGATCCTTTCTCGCCAGGAGCTCCTTGTTCTCCTTTGGCTCCGTCCAGACCAGGGAAACCACGATGGCCTTTTATTCCCGTGAGTCCAGGCATTCCTGGGAGACCACGTGGACCCACAGGACCAGGCGATCCTTGGGGACCGGTCTCGCCATCTTCTCCACTAACGCCCTATCATTAATGAAAAACACAAGGCACCTTAATTAAAATTAATAATGATCTCGTATGAAAGACCATTTGATCACTAAAAAAGTACAAATGCACTAGTTTCTAAGAAAGAAGATAAATGGAATTTTTATGAACGTAAAATTTTTCCAAGCAATTGAATGAAATTATCTGAATTTTCTGCTAGAGTAATTGTGTGCAATTCTAACTTTTCGTTTTAAAAAATGCGGAGACTTTGAATTATAATCTTACATCTTTCCCAGGCAATCCTGGAAGACCTCGCGGACCTGGCGCGCCAGGAGGGCCTGAAGCCCCTGGCTCACCGGGTTCGCCGCGTGTACCTTGAAAACCCTGAGGACCAGGAGCTCCGGGAGGACCTAAAACGAACGTATAATAATGTAATCTTTTACTTTTTTCACAGTAAAATTGTTAAAATTATCACATACCTGGAGGACCTCGCGGACCCATTGGTCCTGTTTGCGCCTGCATGTAAGAAAACGCGTCCGGACCATATAATGATGCCGCTGCACCGGTCGGGCCTTTATCCTGATTCGCTTGAGATAAAGCCAATTGTTGATAATATAGAGATACCTATTACCACAAAAAAATATACATATATTTTGCCTTAATAATATACATTATGTGTCTCTTAAAAATATAAATACATATATACAACATGAATTTTGCTCGTGTGTGCGAGCATCTTGCACAAATAATATTCTAAAGAAACAAAATCATGTTTGTTAATTACAAGAATAAATTTCTCACATCAGGTATAGGTCCTGGAGGTCCAGGTGGTCCAGGAATTCCAGGGGTGCCGGGATGTCCAGGAAATCCCACATCGCCTGGACGACCGATGTCTCCGGGTCGACCAGGTTCGCCCTATTATATTCGTGAATAATTTCTTCATAAACTTGAATAAATATTCTCCCGAAGAGTTATTCATTAACTAATTCTTAAACGAGAAACCGAATAATTACCCGTGGCCCAGGTACAGCAACAGAATTGAACACATTACTTTCACCCGGTAAGATTTCCGTAGGAGTCTAGAAAAAATTTCGATGAAACGTATAAAATTCCTCGCAAATTGTAACATCATAAACTTTTTCTCCATCATTAGTTATTTGAAACTCACCGGTCGATCCCGTTCGGATGTCGAACTAGTTTCTTCCGAATCTGTAACGTACATTTTCACTTTCATATTGATGGTGACTTTGAATACATCAAATAGATGTTTTTATCCTTTCCAAGATGAAAAAGAAAAATTTGTCATTTCGAATTTATCATCACGTACCACGGTTATAAAGTCGAGTTGTTGTTGGAGCTGGTAAGTCCGTAGGTGTTTCCAATCTATACGTAGCCTGCGTACCTTCGATCGCCGATTCGGACCATTCTGCATTTAGCAATTACAATAATTACAATCAGTTCTCCATATTGGTTCCGCGATGCTTCACTGAAATAATGCAGAGCTTTTGCAAATCATATAGGCTTACCCGAAAGTCGTGTGCTTGGTATCACAGGCAATGGCGATGGCGACGTCGTTGTGGTTTCTGAACAAACGATCGCAAATAGAAAATTATTATCATCGAAGAAGCCTTATTGTTATAATAATGATCGCTTGGATTACGAGTTTGCGACAAGATGCACGTTTTAACGTCCTTCTACAATAATATCTACGAGGAAGCAGAAGCTGACCGACTAGACCGGAAATTTTCGTTAACCGCAAGCCGGATTAAATCGCATTTGAGTTAACAGGCCGAAGCAAACGGTATTAATTGCGCGGTTCTGATTAAAACGAGCGATTAATCGTTTCGTACGGCGACTTAACGAGATTGATCTCCGACACGAGACTTCCGGCGTTTCGCGACGTTAACACTGCGTTCGCAGTGCGGAACGTCGTTTTTTTCTATTTACGTGGTACCCGTCATGGTCTTTATTTTATGACACAGCAAATTAAATTTCCCCTCATCAAGATACATTTTCGATTGTGAGATTTGAGATTTATAAAAGATGACTCGAGTATAAAGTGTACTTATATTGCAAATATATATTTTTAACACAAACGTCCAAGAGAGACGTCTGAACAATCGAAACATCTTCTGACCTTCACAACTTCCACGACCAGGCAACACGAGAAAAATTCGAAATACGTCTAAGATGTGTCCGAGAGTGATTAAAGAAAGTCCGAAGGATCGGACGACGTTTCATTCTCCACAGAGATTTTCCAGTTGCGTTCCTCGCTCTCGATTCTACATCTCCCGCGCTAATCAAGGCTCACCGTTCTTCTCCTCGTACTCATCGTAGCTCCCATAGTAATCGTAATCGTAATCGTTATCGGGCTGCTGCGCCTGCAGAGCCGCGGGCTTGGAGCGTTGTTTCCTCGGCCGGTTCCTTGCAGCATCGACCTGGCCCAGCAGCAGCAGCTGGACCACGAAGAGCCCCGCGGCCAGCTCTACGGCCCGGCGCCTCATCGGCGATCCTCTCTCGTTCCAGCAGGGATGGACTGGCGGACTCAGGAGATCGTGGGTCCAGATCCTAGTCCCGACTCCATCGGAGGCTGAGGGCAACTAGACTCGTGCGAACCGTCGTATCATTTATTTAGCAGATGTTCTGCATGATGTAGGGGAGGTCATCATCCTCTCCGCTTTTACGAGGCGCCCGGCGGTACTCCCGCCACCTTATTCCGCAGCCACCCCCTCGCCGTCCCTCTCCCGCGACCCCTTTCCTTGGGCTTGTGTACTTGTTCATTTCCTTCCTCGTTGCACTCGCCGACAGATCATTTTTGTTTCTCTAGCAGGAGGAAGAAAAAGAGAGAGAAAGAGAGAGAGCAGTCCCTCGCGAGGCAAGCTCGGATCTTCCACGGGAGATCGTTTCACGTTGGCTTCCTGAAATTATAGAATTAATAATGAGAGAGTGAAATCGTCGTTTCGGGATTTTTAGAACGGTCACCACCGACGACCTAAATATGTGTGATCTAATTAAAAATTAGTGGTATCTTCAGAACCATCGGTATATACAGTAATTAACAATGAGAGCTGTTCGTCGACTCTTAACATTAATTGAACAACACTGAACAACGTTGATCGATATTCGACGGGCATTTTGAGCGATAACTATCCAACATCTCAATATTGTTTACCGCTCTCGATATCAAAGTCCTCGTTAAACAGCGTCGCGATGAGTTCATGGAAGCACATGAGTGCTCGTGTCCATATTGTTAGCTTAGAACCATTATTCCGCGTATTGTTAGATGCGGTACGACGCAGCGGAATGGAGGTCGTCACCTTATACTTAAGGGTTGCATGCGCGATACATCATATGCCGTCGACACTTCATACTCGATTTCTTCAATCAAACGCGAACCTTCAATATCAAGAGGATGTGGTCGCGTATATATAATCATGTATATCATTACCTCATACGTAATTACATACATTCATATATAATAATACATAATTTTACATGATTATATTTCACTATATATAGACATTTTTTCCAGACAATATATCGAAATATATCTACCTGGGATGATTATTATTTGTCAATGTGAATTTCATCTGCACAGAGAGAGAGAGAGAGAGAGAGAGATTTGTAATAACAACACATTGTTATTCGCGATGTTACGTCCTTTTAATACCAAGCGATTCAAGTACCTCCTCACTTCGGGCGCATCCTTGCGTCGTCGAGCGCGTGTCCGCTCCATTAAAATGCGAATTGCAACGACCTACTTCGCGATAGCGTTCCGCCTCGTTTTTATCAGTTAGCGCCAGTAACTGTCGCGGCCCAATACCGAAAGACGCGGTCGTTACCACTTAATCAGTTTATTAAACGACAATCATCATTTTGGCCGCATTCCCCGAGCGAGTGTGTCTTACTTTACAAGGCGTTAGCCGCAATAGACCGCATTGACCCGCACCTCGGCGTTCGTTACCAGCGTTGTAAATCAGAGTCGCTACTATGTTTAATGTGCAGGACAACACAATCGGCACCGTTTCGTCGCAGAACTCGCATCAGTAGTCGATTAGGAAGCTCTGCGCGCGCCGATACAGAGATTGCCCCTATAATTATTTAAAGGACGAACTGAAGAACTTAATCATGCCCGTATCTCTCCATTGATAATTTTGACTTTTGAAAATGAAATAATTACAACTTTTACACACACATCTGTGTGTGCGTACTGTTTCTGTGGATTATGCATAAAAAGAAATGCTGTTGAATTAACAGAATTTCTAACAGCACATGTAATTAAAATAAATCTCCCTTCGACCTTTGCGATCGGCGTTAAGTCATTCTCGTCTTCGATCGTCGCGTTGCAGCTTAGATGAATGCGTCAAGCGTGCACTGATGGGAACTACAGATCTGCGTATGACCATTCCGCTAATGCAATCATGGCGATGGCGGTAATTGCTCTAAATATTGTCGTAATCCTTACTCGACGTTGTCGCCAAGTCGTGTCTCGGAGAAGACGTATGCAAATAACGTATCTAAATATAGGATAAACAAGAATATTTTGTGAAATGTCGTAACACATTCAAGACTTTTATTTATTGATTATATACCTTGTTTATGTGCACGAATAAAGGACACTTTATTTCGAATCATTATATTGCAACATATATAATAAATTAATGCCTCCTATATGTAATTCGTATTGTTTCATATAAGTTAAACGCGCGCTTGCGATAAATTGTAATCTAACAGAATTGAAAATTTAAACTTAAAAATTAAAATTGAAGTCAAAATTTAACAAAATTAAGAACTAAAATTAAAAAAGTGAAATTAAAAAATTAAAATCTAACAAAACTAAAAATTGAAATTAAAAAATTAAAACTTAACAAAATTAAAAGTTGATAAAATAAAAAATAAAAATTTAATAATTAAAACATAAAGACTAAAAGTAAAAGGCGCGCAAAATCAAAATCTGGATTTCCTGAATATCGTATTGCGCCTCAAATATGAAAATCTGTTTTAAAACACTTTACCGATTAGTATTTAACAATTCGTAAGATAACTTGAGAAATCATGGTTTACACATGTCTCCAAACAACAATAGTCCATTTTTACCGGAGACAAGTTCATAAATTAAATGACACTGTGATTGATTGGCTGATGATTTGGCTGATTGAAATATTCAATTCATATCCATATTGTCGCCAGGTTTCTCCTTATATTCTCTCAACAAAATGGCAAATGCTTTGCTCTGGGTGCATTCTGAGTCAGGCTGAAATCAAAAGTAAAATGCACCGTCGCGACGGAAAGGTTACAGAATAATGCCAATTATTGACTCACTTCGATGGTAACCCCTAGGAGAGCGTCGGAGCAAAAGTACAACGATTTCTGCAGGCTTACTATTATAAATTGAGTAGTGTCCACTTGAGATTGTACGACGCGCACGAGATTCTTGATATTCACATTATCCAACGCTGCATCGCTCTCGTCCATGACGAAGAACGGGGCCGGTTTGTAACTGTAAGCAGAACGAAAAGCTGACTACCTTTCTTTCGCGAGTGACTTTCCATTTGTCGTTACATCGCCACAGTGATAAGACATATACCGCTGAAATGCAAATAACAAAGCCAGACTGGCGAGCGTCTTCTCGCCGCCGGACAGATTCTGCAACGGCTGGAAGCGCTTGGACGGCGCTATGCAACTGTAATTTATACCGCCTTCATACGGCTCCTCGGGATTCTCCATCAAGATGAAGGCACAAGCCGATGTGTGGTTATTGACCAAACTCTGCGCAGAATTGAAGAGATTTTGATGCAGATGACACTCGGAGTGTCGGAAGGTGCATTGCGGTACACGCACGATTGGATGTACTGACTTTGTATATAAGATCTATTTCCGCAGATACGCGCTCCACACATTCTGAGAACAGGTCGTATCTCTTTTTTTTCACCGAGTCGAACTGTTTCTTTATGCTGTTAAATCTCTTGCGCAACTTCTTAAGTTTCTGATTTGTCTCCTGTATCTGCTGCACCACGGCGTCCATGTTTTCCTGAGCCTGTAGAAGATATTATTGTGCTTCGAAAAAAGGCAATTATTCAGTTTTATTTTCTGCTTTTAACGGTTATCATAAACAAGGAATATTTTCTTGATAATAGTATTAAACCATATTCGTCACAATACTAGAAAAGCTCACTAACATTTACTCAAAGGAAGAATTTATTTTCTTCCTAAGAATATTATAAACTTTATCGGAAAAATTTAAATTCGGTTAACTGGGATAAAAATAACCTGAAGTTTCAATGTTAGTGTTTTAATCCAATATTCTTGATTGAAGTATTGAACTTACAAAGATAGAAAATGTACTTTGAATAAATTTAATGCTCATGATGAAGCATATCATGATTATACTTGCGGATATATGAATTCGTGAAATACTCTAAACAAGTGATACTTGTTTGAATGCAGTATGTTTTTTCTGTGTGCGCTATTTTACATTTACGCTGTGAGATTGATCTCTCGTATCTGATTTATATGTGTAGAGTATGTAAATGTTGCGTACCTTAAGATTAGGATCCACTATAGCTTCAATTTCATTTTGTATCTCCGTGAGCTTTTCGTTCCGCTGTTCAACGATGTCCTGCAGATTCTCTTCTGTGCTGTCGCGGATGTCTCTGGGAAATTGTGAGAAATCGATCTTCGAAGACAAATCCCAATCAATCGACGAGTCCGTTATCGAACTCGAACTGCTTGGATCCGATGATTGACGCGATCTTTCCGGTATTATCGGAATAGTGATGTCTTCCATCTGTGAGGACAACAGTCATGCTTTTACAAATATCGATGAAACAATGCTTCTAGTCTGATACGTGCACGAATCTCGGGTGGAATCGAGATATCGCCTCCAAATATTCGCAAACCTTGCATTCTTTGAGTATATTATCGCACTTCGCTTTTTGCCGCTCTATATTATTTTGCAAAACGATGTGCGCTTTCTGAGCTTGCAGGTACGACTCGGAGATGACATCGATTTGCGACCTGCATTGAGTTATATTATCTTTCACGTTCGTTAAATTCTCCTTTACGATCGCGCATTCCTCCCGCAGTTTCGACAACTTCTGCTCCTCCCGTTCGATGGCGTTCTTCGCAGAATGCTCCCGCTTATGCATTTTGCTCAACATCGCATCGGCTTGCTCCATAATAAGCGTCCATTTCGAAATTTTACCTATTCGTTAAATGTAACACGCGCAAAATTCATACGAGAACATCGTGGTAGATTTGAAACTGATTGTATTAATGAAGATCGCATTTGCAATCGTGCGTGTACCTTCCATGTCGCGGTTTTTTTCGAAATGCAGTTGACTTCGAATAAGATCGTGATGTTTCTCAAGTTCAACTTGCTTCCTCTTCCGCTCTTGACACGTCCTAAAGATTGACTTCGTAAAATATGTTCCTTCCATGTGCGTAACAAAATGTTATACCAGCGAAACTTAGAAATAATTTATACCACAGATGATTCTTCTCGTAATAGTCGATATCCGGCACGTTGATGTCTTTGCAAAAATTAGCGAAGACTGAATCTTCGATCGTAGAGATGTGTCTCTTCACGTCATGGAGTTCTTCATCTCTTGTTCGCATGTCGCTTTGAATCTTTGATATTGTCTCCTGAAAATTGCACAAGCAATAGGAATGAGATGATTTTTTTCGTTTTACTTTACGAATTAATTAATATTATATATATATATACAATGTGTATATAAATATATCAAAATAAATTAAAGAGTTTCGTACATATAACAGAGATAACTGTACATCATACTCAGTTGATTCTTCGCATATTTTAACGATTTTACCCTCCTGTGAAGATACCAAATTTTATCATTACCGATAAACTGTGAGAAGAAGCAGTATGATATGTAAACCGTTTGATACCTACAGTGTCCTCTAGATCTTTTTCAATAAATTTATTTCTCAAACCGAGTGCTTTGAATTGCACATCGACTACATCAAGTTCAGACTGTAGCAAAGAGACACTGGGTAAATAATAGAGCTCTTTCTTCAATTGATCCTGAAATTGTATTTAGTGTAAAAACATCACAGGCAAAAGCTGTATTTCGTTAATATCAAAAGAGTGTAACCTTGTGCTCGTTTAATGCAATTATGTCCCGTTCTTCCCACTGTTTGGCTTTTTTCACCAGATCAGTCTTTCCCCCGGATATCGTACCGTCTCTACGATAAAGACATCCGTCGACTGAAATGCACTAAATACAAGCGCAGTAAATAAGAAATGTGATGAATATGTCGATATAACGTTCCAAGAATTATTATCATAAATTATTATTATTATTACATCGTAACCGCGTCTATCAATTTCGTACGCCACTCTTCTTGCCTCTTCGGGAGTCTCACATACCAGAGTGTTTTTAGTGGCAAACAGAACGGCCTTGTGTATTTGCGGGGATGAAATATGTAGAACATCGTACAACAATTTGACGTTTGCTTCTATATCACTGTGCAACGATACATCGCAAACATTATGTTACATATGTATATTCCGATTGCGAAATGAACACTCTCTGTTTGCTTTATTTTACAATTTACCGTAATTTCTCTTTTAAAGCTTCCGGCTTCAACGAGTCAAGGGGTAAAAATCTTTCGATCCCTATTCGATGCAGTTTCAAAAAATTTATACACTTCACTGCAGTGTTCATGGTGTCAACGACGATGGCGTCCATATTCTTGCCGAAGACTTTGATTATCGCGATTTTGTAACGCGAGTGGACAGGCCGGCACAGATTAGATAAACGGTCGTGCTGCAAAGCAGGATACACGCGTGAAATCTTTTACAAATCGAATGATTATGTGTACAGAATCATCATTATTCTGCGCGAAAAGTATACATAATAACTAATATAGAAGTGTGAAATGAAGTACCACGTCAGGAAAGAATTGCTTTAACGCGTTGACCGTTTCAGCTTTCTCCTTCTGCCGCGAGATCATGTAATTGTCGATATCGGCATCTTGAAGCTCCTCCAAGATTTTCTTGATGTTGACCTTTAAAGACAACGATTTCTCGTTCGTCTCGGTAATCTTGTCAATAAGCTGCTGTTTCTGCGCTGTGCTTTCCGTTAACACCGCTCTGGATTCGGCTACTGAACTCTGTAGTTTCCTAAGACGAATATTCAAGTCCTCCTTCCTCAGCGCTAGCTGCTTCATCTTGTCTTCCAATTCTTGTTTCCGCCTGTTCTCGTTATCGAGACGATCGCGATCTACTTGCTGATCGTGGTTCATATCATTTATCTGCTTCACTAAGTCCTTCGCTTGGTATTCAACTGTGTTCTTCAGTTCGTAATACCGTTTAACCTTGGGGAAATATTTTTCTTGCATCAGATGCTTTTCGTAAAAGCACAAGATGAAGAATAAAAATTCTCTTACATATTTTTATGACAGTTCAGAGATATCAAATCAGCGCAGTACCTGGGAATCACTGAGCTCTATGGCGCTCTGCTCCGAAACTTTATTGAACTCCGCTAACTTGTCGGCTACCTGCTTTAGTTCTTCCTGTAATTCTTGAACGATTTTATTGTGTACGTCGCGAGCCGAATCCGCGTTTTCCAGAGATACGCGAGCGTTATCACGTTTCTTCTGCCAATATGAGATGCTTTCTCTGAAAACAGCATGTTCCGCCTTCTTTTCTCGAACAACATCCTCCAATTTCAGGACGCTTCGTTCAATGTTTTCCAGAGAATTGATTAGCGGCTTAAGTTGCTGCCTTTTACGTTCCAATACAAGCATTGTATTTTTCTTATCGCATAAATACGCTTCTTTGCGGGACTTGATATTTCTATCTTCATTCTGCAAGGATTCAACTGTTCTCTTAATGAGAAACAGACAAATTAATTGATATTTCAATTTCTCCTCCTTCTGTAATTATTAGAGAATACCTTATTATATGAGAAGTACAAACAATGCTTGAAACAATCTTACTATAGATTGAAAATAGTTACGGCTTGACGTACATATTGTTCTTGCAGCTTTAAGTACTTTTCTGCTTTTTCTTTCTCCATTATAGTGCATTTTTTATTTGTTATTAACTGTCTTTTCATGTGTCGCATAAACTGAATTTCATCTTCTACTTGTGCAAATTCCATCTTTAATCTGTCGTAACATAAACACTCAATAAATTTGTGCGAAGCAGTTTATGATATATTTATAAGAATAACACTTATAAAACTTATAGCAAGAAAGGAATGTACCGCCTGTAATTTGCCTTGTACACATATGAACCGCTAATTTGTTCGAACATTGCATTGAGTTCTTTTGGCGTTTTCAGTGCAACACACTCGATGTAGCCTTGTGTCACCAGAAAGTTCTCTACTTTTATATCTAAACCATATTCTCGCAGCGCAGTCATATAAATATCACTCTTGACAATCTGTGCAAGACAGTGGGTAAAGGAATTAATTTTTTTATTCGTTAATTAATAAAGATGTAAACATAATAGTATGTAAACGTAATAGAACTCTACCTTGTTGTCTATCTTATACTGACTGCCTCCTTCTTGTATCAGCCTTCTGAAGCTCTTCTCTTCATTGTCGTCTATCAGAAAGGTTGCTGTTACATAGGTGCTGCAATACGAACATGAAATGATGGATTGTGGATAAGTGAAAATTAATCAAATACGAGGACAAATATTTCCAACACCTTTCGCTCATTGGTTTTCCAATGGAAGCTCCATAAATGAGTTCGCTGAAGCATTTAACGCGCAAATTACTTAATACATCTCCCAATACAAAACGTATGGCGTCAACAATATTCGATTTTCCTAAAATAGATTAATGAAGTACCTGTATATTCTGTTCAGCGAATATGAAATGATCAAAGTATGTGAAACGTTAAAAATAGAAAGCGAGGGAGGGAAGGAGAGAGGAAAAGAGAGAGAGAGAGAGAGAGAGAGAGAGAGAGAGAGAGAGAGAGAGAGATAAAAAAAAGTTTAATCCATTAAAAGTAATCAATCTTTCGAGAAACACGACGATCTAATTCAATTCGAATTGTAATTTACTGTGTGGAAAAATAATAACGATTTCGATGAAACGAATGTAACGTTCTACAGAAAGACTGAGGAAAAATTCTCACCAGATCCATTAGGTCCGACGATCGTCATGAACGAGTGGAAGGGACCCATCACCACTTCTCCCTTGTACGACTTAAAATTGTAAAGTGTAATGGTTTGTAAGGAGATCTTCATTTTGGATTAGAGCTACGTGACACGGGTGGCACAGTTCAGTAAACGGCCATTACATTTCTACTTGTTCAAATTCAAAACGTCATTGTTACCAATGAATTTTATAACATAGGTACCAACCAGTCAATTCTAAATAATACTGGAACGAGAATAACGCACAGATTCTGTCGGATGAATCGAGCTGAGAAAATAAGAGCGGCTAAGCGATCATGTCTCCTCTGCCTTGCACATATTATTCGAGACGAAATAAATTAGCCTACAGATGTACGTGATAAGCTATTATTATTCGTATCGTGTGTCATAGGAACTTTTATTTCATCGACTACACTTTTAAAAAACCGTAAGAGCGAGAACCTGTGGAATGTTAGAAAGACAGAGAACACGTTATCCATTGGTGGTGCTCTTTGTTTGATAAATGGGCTCGGTTCGAATGATTCAATAGTAACAACTTACAAAATTAAAAAAATGGCGAATCAGTTGGCGCGCAATTATTCAAATAAAGAATAAGCGGCCGTATTCGGAATAATACATAAGAAATTACCATATAGTACACGAGATAACAATTGTACAATGAATTAATAAATTAATCAATTACACTGATATATATTATTGTTTATATTATTGTTTATAAATAATGCTGGTGCTGGCGGTTTAAACCACCCTATATAATAGATATTGATTACCAGAAAGGCTTACCTCGTTGAAATAAAGTGTTTACTTTAAAACATTGACCACGCTTTTATTAATGCAAATTTAAAAGTTATTTACACGTTACACGCAGCATCATATATTCATCTCACATTCACAATTACTCTCACTCTTATCCTTGAAGATGTATATATATATTTTTTTTCATCTAATCTATTGAAAAGTATAATAAATGTATCAATGATTTCAAGAAAAAGAGAAAAAATCAGGAACGTGCATAAACCAAAATTAAAACAAAGTATTATATATATATATATA